TCATCATATAAGTGTCCATTTGAATTATTAACCACCTACTTAGTGGCATACAAATAATTAAAGCACTGTAAATGCTTTTCATAAATGCATTATATTTAAATGTAATAAGTAATATGATATGTAAATACATAATGAAGTTGCAAATGTATGACAGGGATGGAATTAATGATTATTCATGTTTAAAAAGTGTTTTTTAAGAAAAGTTTATTCACCACAAAGTAGCAATCATTAACCACCATCAACAAACTGACTTTTGAGCCTTATCATTTGATTTTAAATGAAAAGTGCATCAAAAATAGAAGAAAAGCACCCAACAAACTTCACTTCCTGTGCTGATAGACGCTGGATGTGCTGACACGTCCCACTGCAGTTCTCTAAGCTACTCAGTAATGAAGTATTTTTGAGCTGCTACTTTTGTAATTCTAGTACTTCAAGTAATCAAAGTGATTTTGCTTCTCTTGACTCACTATTTCATCAAAGTAACAGTATTTTTACTATATTATGGGTTTAGGTTACTTTACCTCTATAAGCTACTATAAAGTATTTGGTAATTACTATGTAACTAATACATAACATATATAATATGAAAACTGAAGTGTGGGCCCATATATGGGCCCTTAGGGGTTAATTAACATAGCAATATAAAGTTGAAATCACCCATCTTCCTCACTCTCTCTCTCTCTCTCTCTCACACACACACACACACACACACACACACACACACACTGCTAGCCTCCCCTCACCCCAGCTTGTGATGCTCATCAGTTGGCTTTCTGAAGAGAGAACAATAGGGCCTTTTCAGGATATAAATCTCACTCTGTGTTCAGGCATGAAATCTGGGCAGGCAAACAAAAAGAGCCATTGACTCTCGTTGGGGAAGAAAAAAAAAAGGCGAGAGATAAGATGCCCCACGTAGAGCATCGCTGAAACCAGTTCACTGCCCCTGGGCCAGAGCCAGAGAGAGGGCAAGATGGAGAGATGCTGTTAAGAGTTAGAAACAATCCAAAAAACACAAAGAAACAAACAAAAACAGCGAGGGTAGTGGCCCACTCACCTCTTCTGTTTGTCCTCCCCCTGCACTCGTCCTGATATCTAGGGCACTGTTCTTTCAACGAGGCTCTCTTGAGCAACAAAACCTCCTGTACTTCTGCTTTATGGGGTTGAGGCTGAGTTTAAAAGTGTAAAAGTTGAAATGGCTCTGCAGAGCTGACTGGACACAAACACAAACAAGCAGGGCACCAGCGCCAGTGTGGTTGAACTAACATCATCTACATTCATTATCACTGCTAAAATGGGTCATGCACTGCAGCTCATGTGCTCTGGACAGACTGGTAAAGTTTAGGCCGTCTTTCATAAATTTCTCATCTCAACTCGGGTCACTCACTAGAGATTATGATTTCATCACTGAAATGCATTGCAAATGAATAAAGCATACTGTTTGCAAAGAAAAAAACAAAAAAATTACCCACAGAAAAGCAGCTAAAACCTCTTGAACTGCTTATTATTCACATATTAATCCTGAAACTTAATCCAGTATCTACTAAGAATTATTCAGTAATTTGTATAAATTATTCAGTGTCTACTTTGAATTATTTAATAACTACTATGGATTATTCAGTAACTAGCACAAACTTCTCAATAGCTAATATAAAACCAATACATAAGCCATGTGGTTATGAATGATTGAGGAATTACAGTGTGCACCCTTAAAAATATAGGTGCCAAAAAAGGGGTTCTTGGGAGGAAAACAATAAAACAGGGCTGCCCAAAGAGTGGCCTGCAGATGATCCATTGGGACATTTGTTACAAAAAGAATTTCAAAAGTAAGACAATGTTTAACAATTCATATATTCATTATGGTTTAATACAATACCGTGGTGTCTCGATTTGATACAGTTTTCAACGCAGTAAAAACAAGTAGTGGTTGAAAAGGTGTTTTAATATACTTTATCTAAATGGTAATGTTTCTGTTTTCGATTATTAGCGCGTCCAACATTATAAAAGTGCAAGATTTGAAACAAATGCTGTGCTTTATAGGGCTCCAAACTAATGCGGCAGCCAGTTACGACATGTTATGATATTAATTACGACAGTGCGATATGCTGTGATGCTCAATACAATATGATGTATTGCCAAAGCCCTAGTACTGTTAATAATAAGATAATAAAAAAGTAATAAAAAAAGCCCAATATTTGCATTTAAAGTGCTTTTCTATCCTCCTGTTTTCTTGCAGTGGCCCAAACAGTCATGAAAGGGAAAAATGTGAGTGGGAAGTATTCAGGAAGGGCCTCTTGACCAGGGAACTCTAGATTTTTTCACATATTGATTCTTCAGTGCAATATCCTTCTGGTATAGAATGCTGATGAGTCTAATATCTCCCACTTTAAATGCTCATGTATAGCTCCTCCACCCTCCTGTCCTGCTCCCTGCCGTGGCTTTAACAGTGGTGATGGGGAAAAGGTGTGTGATAAGGTGTGTGATAGCACTTCTCAGCTCCTCTGCCCACTCCTCCCGTGCCATCAGAGGCCCATCAACACGCCCATTCACATTCATGCCTGAGGTCGCATTTATCTCCCTTCTGATAAGGCCGGTCTGCAGGGACATTAAACACCAACACAATGAGGACTCTCTGACACTCCAGAAAACGTGTGAAATGCAGGCTCCTCCGTGGAGGACTGCAGCTATTTGCTTTCACCCCTGACTCTCCGACTGATCTTGTGACAATGAGGCCCTTTCACACCAGCTGATTTGTTGGGGGGGGAGTCTGAAGCATACAGAATGAGATGATGTGTCCTGACCCGTCATCAAGAAAATAAACCACATCACAAAAGCCCCGGGCACTAGGAGACTCCACCCCCCCCCCACCTCTTTCACACTCGACCCTCGACTCTCTCTCTCTCTCTCTTTCTCTCTCTCTCTCTCACTCTCCCTAAGGAAAAAAGAAGTGACTGTTTCAATATATGAGCTTATTCATGACATTCCCTCATCTGACACACACAAAAAAGCATTCTAACCCCATTGCATTGCAACCATTCTGAGAAAGAGGCAGGACGCAAATGAGGTAAAAAAAAAAAGAAGAAAAAAATGCATGCCTCGCATTCCTCCTTCCTCCACAGACAGTAGAGACTTTATGCCATTTGGCAAGGCCAAGGAGACGGGACAGATAGAGAGAGAGAGAGAAAGAGAGACTGAGTCAAGACCCATGAACAGCATCAAAACTTCTCACTGCTCAGAACACAAACTGACCATTTTACTTCTACAATTTTACCTACATTTGAAACTCAAGTAACCTTATGTGTATCATATGAGTCCCCATAATGTGAGAAATAATTTAACCCATTCAAATCCCTGGCTTATACATCTTAAGGCCCATGTGTCAGGCTCCAGTCCTCTTGGGCCAAAACACTGCAGACTTCAGCACCACACTGCCTAATTAAACAAACCAGATTCAGCTCGTCAGCTAATTCGCAAGGCCTTCATGAACTGAATTCAGAGCGTTAGATGAAGCTAAACCCTAATCTCTGCAGCACTTTGGCCCGGAAGGTTCCCAGTTTGACATGCCTGTTTTAAGGCTTATTTTTATAGTAAGTACATGGAAAACTGATTGAGTTATTAAGTTAAAGGAGTGAAGAAAGAAACCTTGGACCTGTCAGCCAGTACAGTAAACAATTCATCAGCCTATTTTGGATGTTTGGCTACATTATCATTTGCCTATGTGCAAGATAGATAAAGTTATCAGCATTGATAGTAAAGGACATTTATGTGTAAACACATTTGTAGGCCCTCCAACATACACATAATACAGCAGTCATCAGCTCTGGCCCTGTAAGGCCCTAGTCCAGGACAGTTTGGTGATTTCCCAGCTCAAGCTCACTTGATTCATGAACAGCAGGAATAGTGGGCGTGTCAGAGCAGGGAAATTACCAAAAATACTGCTGCACTCCAGCCCCCCCCAGATCAGGAATCTACGTGTTTATATACCTGTATGGACGTATGCCATGTAAAACTGAAAGTGAAATCATTTCACTTCAGTTCACACCTAATAAGTAGAAACACTTGAGTACTTTGTTTGTGTTTTGTAGTCTAATATTTCCACTAGATTGTTTCAAGACCTTTAACATGGCTCAACACAACTACACACCTCCATATATACATTGTTTTCTGGATACATACATTTAGTAATTTATTTATGCTCTATAATCTGACATTACTGGAAGCCCATTTCTGCCAGGTAGAGGAGAAAAAAATCCCCTACATTCCTTTTCTCTCTTCCTGGCAGCAGTATGTCAAAATATTGATATAGTATTTCGAAATAGTGACTTATTTTCTGAATATATAAACATATAATCTAGAAATCATGAACTTTTCTTAAAGGGGTTTTGAGATTTTAGGTTGAAATAATGACATTACTTTTTGAGATATTAAGTCATTATTTTGATACATTCAGTATTTTAAGAAGAATAAATCATAATTTTGACATAGTAAGTTAATATTCTAAGAAAGTAAGTAATTATTTTGATGGAGTAAGTTAATATTTTGAGAAAATAAGATTATTTTGACATAGTCAAAATTTAAGAACATAAGTCATTCTTTTGACATATTCAATAGTTTGAGAAAATAAGCCATCAGTTATGACATAGTAAGTTCATATTTTGAGAAAGTAAGTCATTATTTGGACCCAATAAGTTCATATTTTGAGATACTAAATTATTGGTGATCCTTTCCTCTCTGCTTGGTGGGAATGGGCTCTCATATAGGACCACCAAAGTGTCCCAATAACTTGAGCACAGCTCAACAGGTCCAGCTCTTCCCACTGGATCTCCAGGTTTGATGCCATTTTCTTTTCCACATAACCCCATAACGAGCGCAGAGGAGGGACTCGGAGGGGGTCTGCTGGAGGGCGGGTGCCTCGCCTCTGATTGGCTGGAGCGGCGGGGCCACGCCCGTGGGCGGAGCCCGGGGTTTTCTTGAAGCGCCGTTCAACTGGTGTTGTTAGTAGTGGAGCAGCACTCGGAGTGAACGGGCGGAGGAGGACGAGGCGGGAGACAGAGAGCTTTACAGAAGAAAACACTGAGAAAAAAAATAACAAAAACTCGCACCTTTGGATGCACAGCAAGCCCGCGGCTTTGGATTTACTGCTCACTGCCCTGATTCGGTTCCACTTGCTTTGAAACGCACACAGCCCGAGTGAAGATGGGATCCCAGGCTTCTAAGGGAGGAGTGGCCGTGGAGGGGAAAGCCGCCGAGGCGTCCGCCGCCAAGACGAACGGACAGGTAGGCTTTAGAGGGCGCTTTGGCTTTTTCAGGCTGGCTTTATGGGGAGAAAAAGCGGTTCTCATCCCTCCGGGCGCATTTCGGGTGCCCAGCACGCGCCCCCCTCCCTCCTCTCCGCACGCGGGAGAGTCAAATCTCCGCCGTCCCACCCACCCGTTGCACCGTGCAGGGGCATTTAATCTCGCGCACGGGGCATTTAATCCCATGCATGGTGGTTTAATTGTGCTCGGTTCGTTTTATAAGTGCGTTAGTGGGTTTTTGCGCGCGTTCACGAGCGCGTGGGAGGATGCTCCAGGCACTAATTAGCGATGCTGACTGTTTTTAATGTTTTTTTAATTTATTTTTATTTTTTATCATTATTTTTGAGCTGAGAGTCGCGTTTACGTTTTTTATTATTAATACGTCGAATAACGTTAATCGAGGCTTAAATTCCATCAGACTCCGTGTTGCAGACGCGCGTGCGTTCAAGTCTAGACACTAGGCTGAGTAGTAAATCCACACGCACCAGAATTGCACATGTGATGAATAAAACTGCCGATGTTTTTACACAACCGAGGGTCCTGCTGGGTTTCGTTTGTCGTGCACGAGCGCTGCGCTCGTTTTTTCTGCTTTTTTTTGGCTAACTGGTCGTCGACGAGGACGACAAACGGGAACGAAACGCAGTGAAAACGCACCGCGCATCGATCCGTTTCAGTCTTTTGTCTGAAAGCCGCCGTCTCGACCAGCTTTTGCTGTTTCGTGTTGTTTTGTCGCCCCCTATCGGCGGGCTGCAGCACTGCAAGGCGTCACCTCCAAGCCTTGCATTGTGTACGTGATTGGTCAGCCAATGTGGTCGTCGACGACCGAAGGAATAGAGATGACCTTTTTCCCCTCCAAAGGGGATCTTCTGTTGTAGAATTAGATTAGATTTATTTCTATTCAGGGAAAAATCCATATATATTTATACCTCCTAAATTTAATCTGCGTTTGTTTTCCCTTTCCAGGAGAACGGCCACGTCAAAACCAACGGCGACGTCTCCGCCAAGGCAGAGGGAGAATCAGCCGCCACCACCAACGGCTCGGCTGAGGCGGCCAAGGAGGCCGAGGCTGGGGCTGGAGATGCCATTGAGCCCGCGCCGGCTGCTGAGGGAGATGCTGCCAAGCCTGAGGGCGAGGCTGCCAAGGAGACCCCCAAGAAGAAGAAGAAGAAGTTCTCCCTGAAGAACTCCTTCAAATTCAAGGGCCTGTCGCTGAAGAAGAGCAAGAAGAGCGCCGAGGTGAAGGAGGAGACCAAGGCTGAGGAGGCCACGGAGGAGAAGCCCGAGGAGAACGGAGCCGCAGCGGCCGCTGCGCCCGCCGAGGAGAAGAAGGAGGAGGCCAAGGCCGAGGAGACCCCGGCCCCGGCTGAGACCCCCAAGGCCGAGGAAGCCCCGGCCAAAGCCGAGGAGGCCGCCGCCCCCAAGGAAGAGGCTGCCGCTGCCGCCGCACCTGCTGCTGAGCCCACAAAACCCACAGAGGAGACCAACTCCACACCCGCACCATCCGAACAGAAGGAGTGATTGTACTTCACAAGGACTTTGTGAACTGTTTTTCAAGAAAAAAAAAATATATATATTTATATATATGTGTATATGTATACATATGTATATATACATGGATATATGTATATGTATATATACACATGTATGTGAAAAAAAAGAAAAAAAGAGAGACTCCTCGTGCCACTTTCTTCAAGATTAATATGAAATGACAGACTAGATTCACTAGTTCACTTCCCTAATAATGGCTCAAAGATCCGGGACTCTGAATTTATAGGCTTGGAACCGGGATGTCAACACTGGAGCGAGAGAGAATGAGAGAGAAGAGAGTTCGAGGATGGGATGAAAAAAGACGAAGATGCATCTTTCAAACCCATCACCACAAAGATGCTATAATATATAAAAAAAACAGAAGTGCAAGATAAACATCACCACATAATAATGACTGTTAAAAAAAAAACGGAAAAAAAGACTTGCCAACTTTCTACATTCCTATATTTTAACCCAAATTTAAGTATTTTGTGGTGTATAGAGAACCATTTTAAATATCCAGAAGGCTTTGTCTTGTTTGTTTGAAATCGCATTTTAATTTTCATCTTGGCTTAAAAAAAGAGAAAAAAACACATTTGAGCTTGCTATGTTCACATTTGAAGTTTTAAAAGAAAGCAGAGTTGTTATGTGTTAAATGTGAGCCTTGATCTGCTTTTTTGTCTCTGTAAATACATTTGACTGATTTTGTTCTTTATTTTGCTAATGTTAAAAGATGTTACTGGTTTTATTGTAAAGTTGATAATGGTAAATAAATGTTGGTTACCTAATGAAGGCTGTGACGTGTCCTTCTCCTTCATGATAGGCTGGGATAACAAACTTTAGCAGAGATTTTGAGCACATAATGGATGTGGTGTTCAGTCATGAGGAAACAGTGAAGTATAGGGAGATAAACAGCACACATGCAGAGTTATAAATGCAGTATAAATCCTAAAACCTGTGCAAAAAGGAAAACTTCATACAGTTAGTATAGGCAGTAACATGCGGCACCCCTGTGTGACTTCTTTCCAGCATGTTTATTTGTGGGCATTTTTGCCTGTTGATAATGTAACAGGCCCACAGTGCTAGTATATGACAGTGTTACATGCCAAACACAGATAAGAATCACAAGTAATGATAAACCAGCAATAACACAACTACAGTAAAAACAAAGGAGGCCAAGAATTTAACATATCCAGCAAGATTTTTTTCATTATACATTTTACAGGCCTTTGAGACTTTTGCAATAACCAAAAACAAATAAGGCCCTGTTGATCCAAAAGGCCTGTAGACTAGTTTCAGAGCCAATAAGTGTCATGAAGTAGCCTGATATACTTAATATTCAGGATGTTTGTAGAGTTTCTTCGTGCTGCAGATCATTAAACAAATGATTTGGAGAGCAAAAGAAAATTGTTGTTGCAATTACCATGTAATACAGCATCCATAACAGTTATATCATTACTGTAAATCGATAATTGATGATTCACACAACACAGAATTGCAAAAGGTGGCATGATTGCTATTCTGATCATCATTTTCTTACAATGGTGGTTGTTTGTAACAGATTCTTGCCAGAAATGGATTCACTGGTTGCTGTTTCTGGAATAGTGAGGATTTTTATACATAAAAAAAAAAAATGAATCCATGTATCTTGTACGATACATTGACAACAACAGATATGTGTATCAAGAGTATATATCTATTTAAAAAAACAGCTGTTTATCACGTCACATCACTATCAAACAGCCCCCCCCCCTTACTTCCAGAAATATTTTTTCTTCTCAGTGCTGAAGACAAATGTGGATTAATGTCGCCATCTGGTGTCAGATTGATGTATTGCTACCATTTATGTGTGGAAATGTTCTAAACCTCATTGTTTATGATATACCTCATTCAGAATTACACTCTCAGAAAAAGGGCTCTATATGCTACCAATAAAAGGTTATATGACCTAAAGGTTCTATAACAGGAGTGGAACCCGTTTTGGTGCTTTAGAGAACCATATTCAGCAGGCTTTCCATCATAGAGAAGAACCATTTAACCATATAAAGAACCATTTACACATTCAAATGTATCTTTGAGTGTTCAGTGTTCTAGATATAATCATTGCTTTTACTAAAGAACCCTTGAAGAATCATTTTTTAAGAGTGTGAATGGATCCAAAATCTGATTAAGGATTTCTACTGATTTCATAACTATTCACAGTACATAATTAAACAGTTAAGGTGTAAACAAAATCATTCATAATTAGTTTGTGTAAAATGTGCAGTTTTAGAGAAACTTGAATTGAACTGACCTCAATGGTTCTCTGTAGTGTTGATAGGAACCTCACATCTTAAGAGTTTTAAAGGGTCCATAACATGGAAAAACAGCATTTTCCTCACTACAATTAGCAGTGAGATAGAGTTTGTAGTCTGTCTCCAGTTAATGCAGTTAACACAGTTAATACATTCCACATGTGGAAACTAAGCTACAAAACAGGCTGCTTAGATTCACTGTTTCTGTGACATCACAAAAACCAAGGTATTTACACATATATGCCTATTCAGCGTAGAGCAGTTTAGCCTCACTTATTCAGGATGAGGTGATTCAGCCCAGACTGCTTTTCAAATGAAGCGCAATACAGGGTTCATTCACTCATGTCAGTCATAAGATATGTGGGATATGTGTCCTTTAATGCATATAAAAGCTACGTCACAGAAAGTTATTACATGACATAGTCATGAATACAATAATAATCGTTATTCTGTACATATATTAGTGCTACATTATTAAAATGAACTAAAATTGCACTGTATTTACTCAACACAGTTACTGCAGAAAGTAAACTGAAAGACAAAATCTGAGCCAATTATATTTTATTTGTTCAAAGAGAATTATTTACACATTTAAAACAAGTAAATTAAATGTGGCACATTTTCAGTGCATTAACATTAATATTTTAAGTCGTAGAAGTTACTCATTTAAGCTTCCCTCACTCTGCTCCATGGTTGCCGAAATGGAAATGTGCAGGGAAATGAGAGCACTGGGCAAATGATTAATGTGGTCATACCTATGTGTAGATTAATCAAATAATGTTGTTCGATTACACCACATTTTTAAAAGCAGTGACTTTGTCTCTATTTTTGAATGGCTTCTGTGAAAAAAGGTTGGATTCATTTCTTGTATCATTTTCACTGCTGAACAGTATTATATTGGTTTAAATCATGTGATCCAGTAATAAATTGTACTGTACTATATTGAGGTAGATATTAATGGCCAGGATGCACCAGTGGGTCCAAAGTTTTACTACACACTTCTAATTGTGCTCCATGTAGTTACTGAGTAATGAGTCTCAGTATGTAATAAGTCTGGGATTTTAAGGAGTTAACCATGTTTCCTAATGTATGAACCATTTTTGTTTGCTGCTTTATTAAACAAACTAAACAAGACTGGTGTTCAGGTTTCGATCAATGTTCTCACCAGTTTGCTCAGCAGAGATGTGATCACAGTGAACTGTTCTCACTATTATAAGTGCAGTGCAATCACTCTTACAGCTTATTGATGGTAGCTGTCCTGATCACACAGGGTAGGTAATACAGCGTTTCTCTGGTGACTGCTTTATTGATGATGGCTGACCATCTCACTCCACCTGGAGTGAGCAGAGGGGTGGCCAAGCTTTGTTGGCACTGGCCACCCCTAGGCCATGCCCCTGCAGTCAACCACTCTGAATGATTTCTTTATATCTCAACCATTGAATTTTCAGAAATTTGGTAGTCTATGGGATTTGCCTTACATGACTTTAATTATATGCAATTATGATCATCCAGGGGAGAAAAAGAGACAAAGGCTGCTCTTTTTCCCCATCAGGTTTTACTACACACTATAACCTAATAATAACTCAGCTAGTTAGCATTGTAGTCCACGTAGTTACTGAATAATAAGCCTTAGTATGTTTTAAGCCTGGGATTGTAAGGGGTTAACTATGTTTGGGATAAAAGGAAGGTAGTGTAAATCTGATTTTGTCATTTGACCCCATCAGTTGGTCAGAAGGTGGAAACAAGCAATGGGTGAGGGGGTGGGGTGGGGGTATTCTATGCTGTTAAAAATAATAAAAGTGTCTGTATGGAGAGCATGACTGTATGTATGACTGTCTAAGAACTATTTAACGACAGTGTCATGATTGTAATTCATTACTTTATGCTGCTGCAAACAAGGTTAAAAGCCTCTTTGGAAACTCCATAGGTGGCCTGCACAAATGGTACTATACACACATTTTTCAGATCTTCTTCTTCAGAAGTTATTGACTTTGTTAAGCTCATTGCATGTTTTGTTTGCATGACAATGTGCTAAATATCCAACCTTGATTACACATGTAAACTCACTAGACACTTTATTAAGTACTCCTGCCTGCATTCATTGACACATAGGTGCACTTTGTAGTTCTGCAACCACAGACTGTAGTCTTTTTCTTTTTCTCTGTATATTTTGTTTGCCTCCATTTACCCTGTTCTTCAATGGTCAGGACCCCCAGAGGACCACCACAGAGCATAATTTGGATGGTGGATCATTCTCAGCACTGAAGTGATCAGACACAACGCTGCTGCTGGAGTTTTTAAACACTAATTCCATTGATTGTCCACTATATTAGACACACAGATCTTGTTGGTCCACCTTGTTTATGTAAAGTCAGAGATGATAGCTAATCTGTGCTGCACAGCTTGTGTTGGTCATCCTCTGGTCTTTCATCAGTGGTCACAGGAAGCTGCCCACACGACTTTTCTTGGTGGATTATTCTCAGTCCAGCGTTGTCACTGAGGTATTTAAAAACTCCAGCAGCAGTGCTGTGTCTTATCCACTCATACCAGCACAACGTCATTCGATGATGTCTGAGGATGAGTGGAGATTTGAGAAGTACTTCTTCGGTCTTCATGACTGAAAATTTGAGGAATGCTGCATATGCAGAAAACACTGAATCTAACATGTAAAATCTGTCATATTGAATGCAATATATTGTTTTTATGAAATACATTCATATTATTGTATTATATTAAAGTAATATAAACACTTCATCAGTATTAAGACACTTCGCGCATCACCAGGTTTTGAACTTAAAGCACCAACACTTACAAGAAGAAATCGAGCGAATAATGGAGTGAGCTGATTGGCCCAGAAGCTGAACGGTAACGCCCCATTGAAGAATTCTGGGTTGTGATTGGCGAAGATGCACTGAGGTCCCGCCTCCGAGATGCTGCGCTGCTGAAAGCCGGCGGGCCGCACAGTGACCGGAGGGAAAATGGCGCTGAGTTCGCAAGGAACAAAGAAGAAAGTTTGCTATTACTATGACGGTAAGAAACCGCGCTCGGAGCGAGGTTGTTTTATAGTTTTCACTCGCTACAGCCACGAAAAGCAAAAACTGTCCTCAGAAGCGCTTTATAAATCGCTTAGTTTTAGCCGGTTAGCCCGTTTGAGCTCGCTAGCGCAGTGTAGTTAGCTTTAGCCTGTTAGCAGAGAGCTAGTCGGAGTATGTTAGTTTATATTCGCAGCTTTATAAGGACTGATATGCTGGGCTTCATGTTTGGAGGTTATATTTATTTTTGTGGTCTACAATAACAAAAATAAAGGGTCTACTGAAGCTCCTGTTTATCGGAGGCTTTGTTAGTGTTTGTTCCTTGTTCGTGGTCAGCTAGCACGCTCGCAAATAAGAGCAGGGGTTAGCTTAGCCTAGCCTAGCTGGTTTGTTAGTTTTCCAACTCTTCTTGGAGGACTGATCATGACTGTAGTTTGTAATGGGAACCTATTCGTCTTATTTTGGTTTATGTTGGGAATTAATCCAGCTTACTTGCTGGATTTTTGGTGTAGCAGCTTCATTGTTAATGAATACAGCGCGAAGCTGAAGTCAGCTTCTTTTTTCGTATTTTCCCGTTCCACCTTAAATGGTGCAGCAGTTACGTTCCGGCGCCTCGGGTACCAGAATGTAACTGCTGCACCATTTAAGGTTGAACGGGAAAATACGAAAAAAAAGCCGATTTCGCATTCGTGAAATGCAGCTAAGCTAACGTTAGCATAGCACACATTTCTGCAGGCAAGCAGCATCAAACCGGTAGTCTACACAGAATCATATGTGAGTTTGTTCTAGTTTGTCTGGAAGTTCACTTCTAATGCAATTCAGATTTCGTCATTGAAACGTTTATGAATCATTAGACTTAATTCTACATTTTTGTATTTGATTTGTCTTATTGTTGTCGTCATTATTATTATTATTATTATTATTATTATTATTATTTATTATAGTTGTTACTCTTATCATCATCAATTTATTATCTTTAAACTCTAGATGTGGTGGTAAAATGTAGGGCTGCTCAATTATGGCAAACAATACCACGATTATTTGGGTCAATATTGAGAACGATTACTTACTTTGATTTCTTATTGACTTTGGAAACATCATGCATTTATTAAATAGACTGTTTTCCAGATTAAACAAGTTGGTCATATTCCCTTGTGGTGCACAACCCATCATGTATCAAATCTTGCGCAGTATTTGTTGTTCCTTGTCGGACTCCTTGAAACCAAAGTGTTTGGTTTTACTTTTTTTGTTGAACAAATGCTTTCTTTTTCCATCCTCATGGCTTGTGTTAAACTAAGCATGCAAAAGCCTGGCTGAGAATGAGTTCGGGCTAGTAGGGAGGAGTGAAACGCACCACTGTAAAGGGCTGCACTGGAATTATAACAAAGGACAAGACGAGAGAATCATTGTGAAATAGAATCGCAATAATCGTTTTATCTCGATGGTCTTGTTTTTCTAATCTCTGGAAGCCAAAATCGTAATTGAAAATATCGCCTTGCCCTAGTAAAATGTTTCCTACCCATTTTGTACGTTTTTCTAGGTGATATTGGGAACTACTACTATGGCCAGGGCCATCCCATGAAGCCCCACCGAATCCGTATGACTCACAACCTTCTCTTGAACTATGGGCTGTACAGGAAGATGGAGATCTATGTAAGTGGAATGTGAACGTTAAGTCTTTCACTTGCACAAGTGTGGAGTCGTAAGAGCTGGTAATCAGATTTTGCATATGTGTGTATGTTGACAGAGGCCGCACAAAGCCAATGCTGAAGAGATGACCAAGTATCACAGTGACGACTATATTAAGTTCTTGCGTTCCATCCGCCCAGATAACATGTCCGAGTACAGCAAGCAGATGCAGAGATGTGAGTAATCCATGTAAACACGTTTCAGTCTGTGGGGCAGTGATTTAAAATGTGTGTTGATTCTTGGTTCCCAAGCCTCACTCTTTTTTAACTGTTATGTTCAGTTTTGTTATCAGCTGTTTTTGATGTGTTTAAAGGCCTGCAAGAAACTGAAACTGAGGCTTTTATTAACATAGAACCCTGTTAGGGCTCTTGAAACTTTAAATTTGGAGGTCAGTCGCCAGCAGTTTTGCTAGTTGCTTAAAATACAGATTAACAGAAGTAGTGGTTTATATTCTTTTCACACAACAGTGTTTCAGAAGCTCACTTTTTAGACATCCTTAACGAGGCAGTAGATCAGTTGTGTTTTTACAGGTTGTAAAGGTTGCATTATACAGCAGTTACATACAGTTTGATTGGTCGAGAAACATTCTAGCACAGTTTTATTACAACTGCATCATAACGTTGAACACCGGTTGCTGAGTAACGACTGCTTTGCAGCGAACCAAAGTATGTTTCTTCTGTCACGCAAAATGACTAAAGAAACTGCAGTTGGCCGTTATTGATCAGAATATAATTCAACAAACGATGAGCTGTGAAATGCTTTTACAGGCTGACTGGAAAAGAGTTTCATGTTAATCTGGCAAGGACGGAAGTATTGAAAAAGCTCAGCGAGTTTTTACGGCTCTGTCCATGAGGACACAGTAAAGTTGGTTTTGCACTGGACGAGTGTTGGATATTTGACTTTGTCTCATCAATGTCCTGTGATATAGACACCCAGTAACGCTTTAGGGACCTAAAGGAAACCTACATTTTCTCACTACTGAGAAGACAGATGACTGACTAAAACCAAATATTTAAAAATGTCCATTGTTAAATTTGGCTGGACTTAATGTTTCACATCAGAAAGTTTTTAAGAGTGAGCAAATGTAGGTTTCATCAATTTTAGGTTTTTATTTCATGAGAAATTGATGAGAGAAATTCTAATATTGAGCAAATGTACATTATAAAACCATTTTTACCACACTAGCAGTAATGCAAAAGGATACTACTTTTTTTTAGTGGAAGGAATAACTGATGTTAAAGCACACTTCATTAAATGTTCAGGGCTTCTTTTGCTTTTTTTGTTTATTGTTTTTAATTTATTACCTTTTTTTTTTGTAAAACTTGTATAAAAGAAATGGAACATAATACAACCTTGAGTGTTCTTGCAAATATCACAGCCATGATGCTTGTGATGATGCAGTGCATCTCGTTCTGTTGTTTAAATAAACAGTGATGGTGGTTTCTACTGAATACCCACTGTACTAGTACTATAAAACTATTGTAGCGATGATCTTATAGATCACTTTGTTTCTGCTGTTGGTTTTAAAAATCTGGCAGTCCTGTTCTGAGGCAGCTTTTAGTAAATGTTTTAGAAGCTTTTCTAAAAATGTTTTTTTTTTTTTTATTTTATTTTTTTTCTGTGCTGCTAATCGAGGAAGATTTAAACTATTTAACCTAAAGATGTACACTAAGCACTGAAATTAGTTTTTCTTCATATGTTCTTAAATGTAAATGTTGTAGCTAATGAATTTGGCACTTAAGAGATTTCATAGATGTAGATGCATAACAGACATTTCATAACAGTTTAGTTAATGATGAATTCAGTGTTGCTGTTGAAGTGATCACTGGATAGCAAAAATGTCTGACCAGCATGCATTTGCTGTCTGGGACAGAGATGCACTGAAACGGTCTCAGAAAACTGCAGTGTGCCTTAAAAATATTGCAGTTCAGCTGTTTCACATTAATGTGACCATATAAATTTCTTTCTCAGTTAATGTCGGTGAAGACTGCCCGGTGTTTGATGGCTTATTTGAGTTCTGTCAGCTTTCAACAGGCGGCTCTGTTGGTAAGTGCATTTTTACTGGGGAGGGATTTTTAATTTATTTATTTAAGAAACTGATGAACTGTATGGGTTCTAGTAGATGACAAGCACATTGCAGATGATCGATGACTGCATTTGTTTTATAGTTTTTCTTTGTTTCATTCAGCTGGAGCTGTAAAATTAAACAAGCAGCAGACAGACATCGCTATTAACTGGGCGGGTGGCCTTCACCATGCCAAGAAGTCGGAGGCTTCTGGTTTCTGCTATGTCAATGACATTGTCTTGGCCATCTTGGAGCTGCTCAAGTGAGTCCTCTGAAGATTTTTGTTCTGGAACGGTTCTCTGAAAAATCATATTTATGCAGTTTTACTCTTGGGCCAAATGTAGACAGTCAGCCAAGACATGTTTGGTGTCACAAGTTTGCGTCTCGTTTCATATTGAAACTACAAGGTCAGTGTAGTTTAAAAGTAACGAAAGTCTGCCATCCAAAATCTTTTGGGTAACAGACTTGTTATATTAGCCTCACTAAAAAATCAGGCACCAAACATTGTCTACATTGAGAATTGGGACAGTTCTCAATTTTAAATCTATAGTAAATGACACCTTTAACATTGATTGTTCGTAATAATTTTGTACTAGTATTTTTTTTCCCCTTATAACAGGTGTAGAGACTTTGATCACTGCAGCTAAAGGTGATTATTAATACAAGGCTTTTGTTTGATACAATTTGACAGATACCATCAAAGAGTGCTGTACATTGATATTGACATCCACCATGGTGATGGAGTTGAGGAGGCCTTCTACACCACAGACCGCGTCATGACAGTGTCTTTCCACAAGTATGGCGAGTACTTCCCTGGCACAGGTGACCTCAGAGTGAGTTCCTGTTATTATTCTTTCTTCCCAGTAGATTTTGTGCTCTTGCTTTTATGCCACAGAAGGACATTTGGCTCGTTAACTTAAAGCTTCTCTAAAATGATGTGTTGACATGATTGAGGCTGATATATAATTTCTTGCAGGATATTGGTGCAGGGAAGGGCAAATACTACGCTGTGAACTACCCGCTCAGGGATGGGATTGATGATGAATCTTATGAAGCTATATTCAAACCTGTAAGATGTTATGATTATCATAAATATATTTGGTTATTATAAAGTATCAGATACAGTTTACATCTGTTTGTATGTGTCTGTTTTAGATCATGGCCAAAGTGATGGAGATGTACCAACCCAGTGCTGTAGTTCTTCAGTGTGGTGCTGATTCTTTGTCTGGGGACAGATTGGGCTGTTTTAACCTCACCATCAAAGGTCATTCACAGCACTGATTCTGTCCTTAACATTACTAATACACGTACAGTTGTTTCTGCTGTGGTTTTGTCTGTTAACACTGAACTGCTGTGCTTTGCAGGCCATGCTAAGTGTGTCGAATACATGAAGAGCTTTAACCTTCCTTTGTTGATGCTGGGAGGAGGCGGCTACACCATTAGGAACGTGGCTCGCTGCTGGACCTACGAGACAGCCGTAGCCCTGGACAGCACTATTCCCAATGGTAAGGCGATTTGGACGAATTTAGTGCAGTGAGTCATTAATGGAAAAAAAAATTCCTGAAATAATTGTTCCATTATTATGCGTGTTAAATGTGCTTTGAAGTTTATAACTATAATGCCTATTAATCTGTGAGTTGTAATTGTAAATTTTTTTTTTAAAAGAAAAGGTTTGAAGTTTTCATCTAAACAAAGCTCTCTTGCAAAATTATTTATCTTATAAATTACATGCACATGAAGGTTCTAACCTGGTTAGCCCTCTTCCTTGGCATGGGATTTCACTGCAGTGTTGGAGCAAAGTTGTATTTCTGTCCATTTAGTAATTTCTTGAATCATGCAAACCTTGGATGTCCTACGTTTTGTTTGGAGACAAAGCATAAGCAGAAATTGTGCTTAGGAGATGCTGTTCATGCATCACACTTTAGGCTGGCTTTATTTGTTGCAACTTGGGTTGCTTGAAACCAATATGAAATTAGACTGCACTTGAGTTGCATAATGTAAACTGTCCTCAAACTCAGTTGCAAGCCTCTAAACTTTGTGAAGGAAATTTCATGATACAGGCAATCAGAATGACCTTATCATGTTTAACGACATACTTTCAAGCGATCAATTTCAGTGGATAAGTGGACAAGAAAGTACGTTCACCAGCGGGTTGAATAGAAGACCCTCTTTACTCTTTATTAGACTGCTGTTTTTGTGGGATATGTGATTTGGCTAGATGAATTCTCTCCTTGTCCCTAATTGACAGAGCTCATTCATTTGAAATCCAGAGGGTGAAAATATCACATGAAAGGAGACAGAGATGGGGGCCACAATGAACATGTTGTGCTTCTAGGACAGTATGAGTGAGACAGTTGTCTGCAGTAAAGTTTTGCATCTGTTGTGTGTTTTTCCATAAATTAAATCCTTCCCATTGACTAATTGGTGTCATCAGTGGTTGGTACAGCTGTTGTATTTATGATTCAGTTTGGTGACTTTCCTCTCATTTACTTCAGAGCTTCCATACAATGACTACTTCGAGTATTTTGGACCCGACTTCAAGCTCCACATCAGCCCATCCAACATGACCAACCAGAACACAAATGACTACCTAGAGAAAATCAAGTAAGTGTATTGTATTGTATTGAATTGAATTGTGATTATGTACCGTTGCAAAGCGCGATGTAGCTTTAGCTGGTTTCACTTTGGTTTAGACGTTTGTACTTGATCCTGGTTAACTTGTGGAAGAGGAGCAGAGACTTAATCTTAAATCTGATCGAGTCACCTATCTTTCTCTTTGTCTGTATCTAGGCAGCGTCTGTTCGAGAACCTGCGCATGTTGCCTCATGCTCCTGGAGTGCAGATGCAGGTGATCCCAGAGGATGCTGTGCAGGAGGACAGTGGTGATGAGGAAGATGACCCAGACAAACGCATTCCTAGTGAGTGCTACTTACTTTCTTTTCTTTTAAGTCCTTTTTCTTTTTCCCTTACGTTTTATCTTGTACATTGGGTCTTGTGAAGGATTTTTAACTGGTCTTTACACTACTCTTGAAGACTGTAACTGACATGCACTTTGGTGAATTCTAACTTTTCTCCATAATTAAACACACAAAGGTAAACAAAGGTCATCGTCGGGTCATCACCCTTTACCTCTTGCTACAAAATGAACACAAACCCAGCCAAGCTTGTTAAATTAATTTGTACCCTGTGGGAAGGTGCGCCTGAGAAAAGTGTTTGCTCCCTCAGGTGCTCCCCCTGAGAAAAGTGTTTGCAAACAAAGCTGCTGCAATGGAACAAATGCAGTCAGCTCACTCTGGAACTTTCTTAAGCAATGCTGTGCAGTTCACACTATAAAGAACTGAACACAGTTGGAAGACGTTTGGAGGGGTCGGGTGACTAAGTAATTTTGTTGCCAAAATTGGGACCTTGCCCCCAGAACTCGGCTGGGTGATGTACTTCATGAGACTGAGATTATATACCTGTTACTGGGTGTCTTTACATTGGCTGTTGACCAGTTCTCTAATTTGAAAACAAATGTGTTCCTTCACCAGTCCGTGCTCATGATAAGCGGATAGCCTGCGACGAAGAGTTCTCAGATTCTGAGGATGAAGGTCAAGGCGGCCGCAGAAACGCAGCAAACTACAAGAAGTCTAAACGGGTGAAGACTGAAGAAGACAAGGATGGGGAAGAGAAGAAAGGTGAGCAGACAGGTACAGCTGACTGCACTTCACCTTCATCAGCTAGACTCGCTACACTTGTTAACCAGGTTACCTCTAGTCTCATAAGCCAGGCTTCCCTTAATTTGGCTAAGAACTGCCTACTTTGATAGGAAGGGGCCCATTTGACTGACATGGAAAATAACCAACTACAGACTATTTTAGCATGATGTTTAGAGGTGATGATTTTACAAAACAGGGCCCCAAAACAAGACTGTGCACCAAATTGGTATGTGTCAGCAAACATGGAGATATTGTCTTTAAAAGCTACTAAATGCTTCAAAGGAAGCAGGTGTTTCCCTTTTTTCCTCTTACCAAAACTTGCCTGTTTTCTCAAATTTGATTAGAGACAAACCTTTTAGTTATTTATTCAACCTCTCCTTTTGCTCACTTGAGCTGTGGAACACGTCCCAGAGAAGGTATCCTTTCATAGTGAGTTAACCCGTTATATAATGTTGCTATAGTTGCAGTAGTTACCTCTGAACCAAAGTTGGTCTTCTAAGCCAAGAATCATGTATGCACTTGAGTTTGCTTAGTAACACTGCTTTTTAACAAGGCATTGTACCCTAAGACAGAAATTGCCTATTCATGCCCATCAAGTCAAATTATGATGGATGTTGGCTGACCAGATGAGTTAATAGTGTTTTGTACACAGTATAGTGCTGTTAATTTGTTTCTGAAATCAGCTCAGGTAATGTAAATGTAGAAAAACTACCATGATTTGCTGAATCGTTATGATCTGTATGCAGTCAGTGTCACGCGAGTGTTGGAGACAAATGGAATAGACCAACTGCACTAACTTTTAATGTTACTATTTATTAATTTATAATGATGACTATATACTGTACAGATGACACATAACAACCTCCAGTGGGAACCAAATGAAAATGAACAAAATATTGCCAAACTGCTGTGTTGGCAGCCCTCTTCTTTTTGCTTTATACCAAAAAGCGTCTCATGTACCGGAGTCGCTTAGCCTCATTTACGTGTTCCCCTGTTTTCAATGCAAAATGTACATCTGTTAGTCTTTCCACGTGGTGTTCAAAGTATGTATGTAACGAATTAGTTGCTGTTTTGTTTGTATGATCTATAAGTGCAGTCTTTTCTAATTTAAATTATATTTCTGTAATATTAATCGTCAGTCTGAGGCTCTTCAGTGTTTAAGATAATTTGTCATGTTTACCACTTGGTTCTGAAAAGCATGTTGTTTACCTGCCTGAAGTGCAGTATGTGATGCATGTTTTCCTATCTTGTAGACGTGAAGGAGGAGGAGAAAACTCCAGAGGAGAAAATGGACACAAAGGGGTAAGACTACAATGTATACTAGAATATGTGCCACCCTCTCCAAGTTATCCCAGTATAAATATTTGATTTGGAAATCAAAGTAGCTAACAAATGTAAGTGTACATGTGGTGGAAAGGCTATCTGGTCATGTAATGATGTATTTGGTAGTTATTGAGGATTGTTTTGGCACAAGAAAAGAATTGTGTGGAGTCAGTACTAATAGTCCCTTTTTTGTTTCTTTTTTTTTGTTTGTTTTTTTTGAAGGCCAAAAGAAGAGTTGAAAACAACTTGAGACCGCAACCGAGTCCAAATGGATGGATGCATGAACTTAAGTTGTCCTACACCCTATGTTACCCCACACACACACACACACACACACATATACACACACAATCTTGGCTGCAAAGCTGAAGACTGTAAATTATTTTCTAAGACTCATTTTACTATTTGTATTCTTAATGAGCGGTATAAAGGTTTTTTGCATTACAAATGTGAATTGCAATGTAAGATGTATGTTTTCCTTCCCCCTTCTTTTTGTGCTTTTAATAAAGTTAGCAACTTTTCACTGTCTACCAAAAGTAGCACATCAATCAAACAGGACCAGAAATAGTAGTTAGAGTTGGTGGTCATTAGCTTTCCCCAGCAGGGAGGCCTCACCTCTAAGTTATTTTAAATCATGGACTTGAATGCATACTTACACACATCCCTTTCCTTTATTAGGTCTTGTTTTTTTTGTGTGGATGCTGTTCCCTGCCAGTGTCCTTTACCTCATTTTTAAGAGATGAAAAATGTTTGTTTTAATGACGGTGTCTGTGTTGATGGCTTGGCTCTGAATCTCTTCCCTGGTCCATTTGGGACGTGGAGAAAGACTTGCGTTGTTGCTGTTAGACTCCAGATTCCTTCCTATTGTGGCTATGCCAGCAAGTCAGCGGCACTTCTGGCCAGATATAGCAGTTTAGAGTTCCAGAGTTCAGTGGTTTTGAAATGTCCGTATTATAACAATGCCTTTGGTAAAGTAAATAAAGAGAATGGTATCTCTCATGTCTGTTGTTCTGTAGCTTTCATTATCTATAGCAGGGGTCACAAAGGGCTGGTTTGGCTGCAGCCAAGCAGAAGCCCACCTCATATGTAGTCAGCTGTTGGAAACTGAGGCTGACTGATTAAATAAGTGGAATAAGGTGCTTCTGTTTGACTGGAATGCCAGAACCTGCAGATAATATAGGAGATCCCTGATCTACAGCGTGCACCACTGCAATATTGTCAAAGTCTGTCAATATAGTGTTGAACACCACAGTCCTAAAAAGGGCTGCACGATAAATCGTATTTTTTATCGTTATCGCGATATGAGTTTAGTTAGAGCGGCGATGACCGAACAGATCAAACGGGATTACCTCATGCACGCAGCGCCAAAGAGACGTCGGCCCTGACGTCATTACGTTACCGGCACAAACCGTTACAAGCCTGCTTCTCTGCGCTGGGACTGAACCTGCTCTCCCACTCGAGAGGCGAGTAACTTCGCCATTCAAGGCTCGGAGACCTTAAAATATCGACCCAAAACTCAGCTTTGATAGAAACTCGACTGAAACCAGCGCGCAGCAAAGGAGAAAACGCGGAGCACACAGGCTAACGCTGTTTTCTGCTGGCCAACTGAGCTGCTGAAGCCTGCTACCTTACGCCTCCCAGAGTCCTTCAAAATAAGAGTCCCTGGACCAACTAAACACGGTGCCTAACTACTCAACCAAAAGCAAGAACGTTATTTTAAAAGTAAATACAACCCGGAGTGTCTGACACCACACTATTTAACTCAACAAAGAAACAAGAATAGTACTGGTTCTTGTTTGTCTGTATTAAAAAAGCAAATAATAAATATTTGGTTTTGTAGCCTTTTATAGAAAAAGCCGTTGAGGTGAGGCTCACTGTTTCATAGCCCTTCAGTAGTTCAGTAAGTAGTATTTCGTTTCCTTTTATGTTACAGAATAGTAATGGTACGTTTGTAATTTTGATTTTTTTTTTTGTGGTTAGATTTCTTTTTACACCGCCCCAAAAAAAATGCCAGCATTTGCGTTACATCCAGCTTTACATCGGTTCTCATATCGTCATCGTGATATTCAACAGCTTTATCGCATTTTATGTCAGTGTCGTGCAGCCCGTCCTCCTTACAAACAGCAGCCTTTAGATTGATTTGCCTATTTATGCAGTCGTTTCATAAATCATATCCATCATATAGGTGCACCTTTGTAGAGTTTCAGTTACTAGCTAACCCACCTGTTGCTGCAGTTTATCGGCCAGTCTGTACACCCTTTATTAATGGAAAGGACCACCGCTGACTAGGTGGTATTTGGATGGTGGATCATTCTCAGCACAGTAACACCAGTATGGTGGTGTATCTAGCACAGTGGTTTTCCTGCGATTTTAAACATTGTTCTTTCTGGGTCAGAATATGGGGCATCTACCTACCAATAAAATATTCAATCAACAATACTGATGTGGTCAGAAAGTGATTAAGGATCAAGGATTATTAATTGTAAAAGTGAAACCTTGCTGTTGGCATGTAAGCCTCAATATGGCGAGCATGTCCAAACTTGTGAAATGTTTTATAAACCAAGCCAACTATTTTGTTTGCCACAAATAGACACAATTCTTCTACTAGTCAATAGCCTTTTTCTTGCAACACCAAATGGTTTTGCTCTTGAGCAAGAAACTGTGAACTAGCTAATTCAACTCAGATCTATTATTCAGCCTTTCCAACTGAGAGTAGCTTAATGTCTTTTTGGTAGGAGTCCAGGGCAACCGTCAGTGTGACAATGGTGCCTATTAGTAGAAGAATTTCAGTTGTCATGTTTTTGTATATTATTTTATAAGTGTACAGTGTTGAAAAACCCTGCTGCTGCAGCCCCTAATTGTGATCCTGGAAAGTCCACCTGTACGGTAGGTGTTTCTGATAAAACGGCCAGTCAGGGCAGGTATGCTGAAACTAGCAATATATATAATTCACTGCAGTTTTTTGTAATACATGCCATCAGAGGCTGCGTAAAAAAGGACATACTTGTAGACATACTATCCATGTTTCTGTGTGATACATTATGCATATCATTTAAACAAGTTCAATGAAATTTCCTGTACTTAAATATATATTAAGCACAGCACAAAATCATGCAAAACTGACAACTAATAAACCCAATAATAAGGAAGACCACAAAGGCATGTCTGCATATCAAACTCAGTTTATTTAGAATATTTGATTTATTAAATACACTGTGGAATATGATAGACACTGCTGGCAATGTCTTTATTAAACTGAGCTTAAAAAACAGGCTGCATCTGTGACAGATGAAGCCCATGATGGGATTTGACTGATGTTCGGATGTTACTCAGGTGGACAGCTGGCGATGTGACCAAGGAGTCAGGAATGCTACTGGTGATAGAATTTAGGCCTCAAGCTCGAAGTCAAAGTATTGAGGATCGAAATAATGAATTCTGACGTAGCCGTCCTCTCCTCCGCTGCTGTAACTGTAAGACAAAATGCAAAAAAAAAAAGACACTTGTTAAATTATTTATCATTGTAGTGATATTCGTGCAGTTCTGTCCACTGAAAGCACATTTTATGTGAATAAGACGCTTATTCACCTTTGTGTGGCGTTAGCAAAGGCAGTTTACACAAAGAAAAAAAGGAAAAATAAACACCTTTTCCCATCTGGGTGGAATGCCACACAGTTGATGGGTCCGAAATGGCCCTTCACTCTTCCAAACTCCTCTTCATAGGCTGCATGGAAAAACCTGCAGGGAGTACAATGTGTTAGTCATGGGACCAGAACACAGGACTAACAGTGCACAAAGGAAGCAAACAGATAAAAAACCAAAACAGCAGGATGATTTTTATTTTCTGACCCACTTATTTGTTAAAAGACCAATGATGACTGGTTATATTTTAAATCATATTTTTAAACTAGACTGATGATTATATTTGAACAATAGTTCAAAGTAATATCTGATCTCAAACAATGCAACTATGCATTTCTTATATAATGAATGGCAATTTATCAGAACAGAAAAATGGTTTGGGCTTTGTCTATTTCCCCAAAAACAAACCAACCTAGCCTCAAATTTTCCAATCCTAGTAGAAGTGGTTGTGACTTCCATGGCCTCCTGACCTCCTCCCATGACCACCTGAAGCCAATACAGCACAGAGTTAAGATTGAAAGCCATACATACAATTTTATTTACATTCCTGCTGAAAGAAGAGAGAACACAACTGCTCAAATCCTGAAGTGATATGATTTTTCACAAAATATCAAGACTCGCTTAATGCAGTCGCTTCTGATGCAAAAGGCAGAGTTTGCTCCAAACAAAAGCTTTACTTTCTTCTAGTGAATGAAATAACCAGAGATGTGACGAAGAGGGATTCACTGTTTTTCACTCATTTTCACTCATTTCATATTTTCCTAATTTATGATGTAAACACAGACCCCACACTGAGTAAAATCAAGATATTGATTATCAAGATAAAGTCAACATACTGAGTAAACATATAAAAGCCAAAATCATTTTGTGATGTCACGAATTTGGCTTCAGCCTTAAAGACTGGTTTTGCTGTCATGCAAATGTTACTTCAGTATATTAGCTCCCACCAAAGTTCACTCAAACACTGCTCAAATACACACAGATTTGACCCTAAAACAGGTTCAACAAACTATCCCACTGAAGTAAAAGATCAGAATAAAAGAACCTGAAAAGTCTTTTGTTAAAGAGAGTTGAGATGAATCAATAATTTCACAATAGACAAAAAAGAGCACAGTAAACACTGGACTTAAAATATCTTACATGATCCATGATGGGCGAGATGGCGGCAGAGTTCACAGGTCGTTCAGTCTTGAAGGTTTTAATGTGGTCTAGTGATGTTGTATCAAACAGCTGTGTAGAAAGAGGCAGCATGTCAGCGTGTCTACATTCATGGCTTCCTAACATGTTTGCTAGATATGTTAAAAAGGCTCACTCGAATTATAATATCTGTCCAATCAACAAACATTTTTGATATTTTCTTGTTTTCAAAAGTGACTACTGCATATTCAGAGCAAAACTGGACACATTTATTCAAATATTTAACTCTGATATCTTTGTAAAAACCTGTATGATATAACGTTTCAGGTGAAATGTCATCATGAAATTTTCAAATAATATAAAAGCTGCCAATTCTACCAATTTTTAAAACTGTATAAAGAAATGAAAATGTACTGAAAGTAATGAATAAAAGGGATTATAAAGGTTTTGATATGACAACAATATTTTACAATAAAGACCTTCCACCCTTCTTAACTGACCTTAGCAGAGCTGTCTTTGGAGGCTGTGATGAACATTGTTAGATCTATAGACGTCTGGATGTCGTTGATCTGCTTAGTGTGCTCCCTCACCTTCTTCAGAATCTCCCCAGACTGCAAACACAAATGAAACACCATTAATGGATACACCAAGGCTACACTCAGACAGCAGCCTGCAGTGGTCCAATCAGACTGGCCTAATCAGACTGGCCTTTACTTGATGGTATTTTTGTGTTCAGAAAGTTTTATAAGCACATTGTTGATGAGTTGATTATTTGTTTTATGATTTATACACAACATGATTATCTGAAACAATAACTAAGCATATATGACCTGAACTGAATCTTGTTACATGCTCATCTTTTGTTTATTCCTAGAGTTAAAAAAAATGAAAATAGAAAAAAAAACAACAAAAACAACAGAGCTGACCTTAGCACTGAACTGGTTGATTTCTCCATTTTCGTGTCCAGCAATGACAAACTCTCCCAGAGGCCCCCACACCGCACTCGTGATCTTTGATTCGCTGCATGGCACTGACAGATATGGCTGGTTGTCCTCTGATAGGGCCAAAAAATAAAAATACAATTAAACTAGAAATGCATGATCAGAATCAACCAAGAATCAGCAAATTTGTGCTCCAAATGTTTTAATTTATATATATAATTCTGATAACTGTTTATAATTTTATAAGGTAAATGACGAGCCATGTACAAAATATACCATAACTATGCCTGAGTCACTGTGATAAACAGCTAGCTTCCTCTTATTTTTGACGTAGCACTTATTTATTTTTCATTAAAACAATTTTAAATGCCAGTCTGGCACACTAAAGACCAAATGATGTTATTTATATTGCAATTTCTGGCACAGTTACTAATATTTCTGTTCTGATAAGACCTTTTCCACTGACTAGTAAAGTGATCAATGCACACTTAGCAAACCATGTCAGAAATAATATTACTGTAGTGCTGACATAAGGAAACCATGTTTACCAATCTGTTGGGGGTCTCGCAGATCAAAAAAGTTTAGATAGCACTGGTAGCCCATCTGTTTGTCGGTGGAGAACATGATGATGTTTCCGCTGAAGTCAAAGCCACACGTCCTCACTGCTGAGTTGGTCTCAAGCATGATTAGTTGTTTACCTGAGGGTAACAGTGCAAATGTCACTCAGGAGGACCTTACGGTTTCATGAAGGTAAATAACATTTCCAGCACACACACAGCTACAGCACAATACAACCATAAGAACAATCCAATAATACATCACTTTGTGTTTGCACATTTAAAAAATAAACAGGCCTATCAACACTGGTGATTATTTTTCTATTTATTTGTCCAATTCCACATGAGTGTCAGTCAGTACAGGATGACAAGGTGAGGAAACTGTATTTGAGGTTCTGGATTAACTAACCTGTCTCACAGTCCCAGAGCCTGCAGCTGTTATCAGCCGACCCAGTCAACACGTTCTTTGTATCCCCTTTAAAATGTGTTAAGGTGAACATTTACAGGAAAAGGTTCAAAAACACAGGATTATATCGAAACTATACACATGAATAAAAGTCAAAACGCAAGACAGTAATTTCACTCAGAAAATGCTGCAACAAATCTAAACTGCCGGCAATAAACAGCGTAAAAATGTAGGAGAATCTGCAGTAAAGGATACAATCAACATCCACACACCAAACTGCTCCGGAGTGGCCATTGTAAGTGCCCAGCCTCTCCCCATTCACAGAGTACCAGACGTTGACAAACTGAAAGAAAACGTAAATCATTTTTTTAACAAATAATGAGTGCAATAAAAGGTTATAAATGCTTTGGAATAAACAGGGCACTTAGACTTTTCTCTACTTACCTGGTCTTTGGCTACAGAGAACAGCAAGTCCCCCTCTCTGTTGTATTTAATTTGAGTGATGGACCTCTCATGGCCCTGTAACAGGATTGGTTTCTGCACAGAGCAAAGTTAACATGGGTCAGTCAGTGTAATAACACACGAAAAACCAGTAACTAAAAATAAAACACAGAGACAACAATATGGCCATGGCATTACAATTTAACACTAAAAACAGCATGTCAGCATCCTGAACAGCCAGGAAGACGCATTACTGTAGGTATTTGTAGCCATGAGAAAACCATTAGCAGAATTACAGTTTAGACTGATAATATACACTAATAACATCTCACTATAGTAAAAATCTGTTATGGGTAACAGTAGTAAAGTGGAACCTTAACAAGAGCTAGCTAGCAAAACATAACCATAATTTTACACGTCACCAATTCTATTTCTAAAAAATATACATAAATTAGGCAAAAAATACTTTAACTTATGTGTAATTCCTTATTTCTGCCTTATTTGTATCTATTTTTCTGTTTTTATTTCTGCCTAATATATGCAAGTTTATGTGCAATTATATGTCTTGCTACTCCAACACTGATTTTCCTTTCGGATCAATAAAGTTCTATCTATCTATCTATCTATCTATCTATCTATCTGTCTATCTCTGATGCATTCTTTAAAATATTAAATAGTGAACAGTAAGATTTAGCCACGTTATCCTAAATGTGATGTTTACGCTGATACTGAATAACAGACTTAAAGGGGAACTCCACCAATTTTCCATAATTTATTTTTTAATTGAATTGTTAAGATGTAAAGAAAATCATTCAGAGTGTTTTGAGGTGAAATGCTCTGTTCTAGTAAAACTTACTCTAAACTACCAGACAAAACTGTTCACAGTGATGGTGATAGGAACCAGGCGTCCAAAACGTTCAAAACGTTCAATGCCTCCAAAAGTTCCCTCACAGATAGGTATTACAGAAATAGTTAAAAATACACTGACTGTTGCCTGAGACAGTGTCTTACGACAGTTTAGAAATTCTGGTTAAAAACATATCCTTAAAAACACATTCACAGCAAAGTGGTACATGTAGGGTGGCGTAAGGCAAAACACCATACAAAGAAAACTTTTTTTGGTTTTTACCATCATCAATATTACACATAAAACCTCAGAAGACACGTATAGGTTCACTAGTGGCTTTGGACAGTAAATAAAATGGATATACTGGTGTTGTAGACATCATGACCCCTGGTTCCCATCACCACCACTGTAAATAAGTCTGTTTCTCTAGAATGGAGCATTTCACATCAAACCACTCTCAATAACTTTTCTTTACATCTCAATCACTAAATTATGCAGAAATCTTCAGGGAAAATTGGTAGAATTCCCTTTTAACATCTGGACGTTTTCACATAAATGAAGCAATGAAGGTCCCATCGCAGAGCTGCTAGAGCTCATCTTTTGTAGGACATGGGTTTGATTACTATGTCTACACGAAGAAAGAAAGAGAAGCAGCGCATACAGCGGTTTACACATCCATGTTAACAGCGATGGAGAGATTAATTTCCCACATGAAACATCCCTAAATAATGATGAGGTGAAGGAAGATGTTCTGCGCTTAACGGCGCCGCTGACTGAACAAAACTCCCGAATTTACAAACATTTTCTCTTCTGCTCTTCTGGACACAGAATTAAATTTCAGTATGTTCGCATTACTGAACCATGAAAACGTCAACAACAGCGAGCTAACTTCGCGGCTGCAGTGCTGAGGAACACAGATAGCCGAGCTAGCGTTAGCTAGGTTGGCTAACTCGCCCCACACCGCTATGCTAACGCTAAGTTACCTCAGCAAATTCATGAAGTCACGTCACATCGCGAAAAAGCGTATTTACCTCTGTAACCCGACTAAGGTTTACGTTATCACACAGTTAGCATCACCGGTCTCTTACTAAGTAATTCAGTAGCTTAATACCTGAAAAGCTAAGCGGTTAGAACGTAGCTGCAACACAATTTAAGGTGGAACGGAACAATTCGAGTAAGAGGCTGACTTCAGGTAGCCGCTTAGCTAAAGCGCTACTGGGTTTATTCTGGTCATTTATCTGTCAGTACGGCGCTTTTGCGCTACTGGACATACTCGTTTTTAATTATTGACCATGAGTCTGTTTCTCACCATCGCTGTTGATTCTCCTCTTTTCTCTTTTTTAAAAAAACGACGGGAAGAAAATCTACGACACGCGAGCCGCGTGCAACCGGCAACGAACAAGGACCAACCCGCGCCAACAGAGGGAGCAACTTCCGTCCGCTCGTGGGGCCACAATTCAAAATACAAGCTTTTAAAATGTTATTTATTATGAGAAAATGAGGAGCTCATCTATATAAACATTAATATGATAACAACAGCACTTAGGGAATTGTACAATATAGATATGAAGTAAAATTGGGAGATTCGAATTATCACTACATAAATAAAACTAAAGCTAAAAAATGATTGCACTTTTTCAAAACAGCTCAGTGACCTGTACAATATCAAACAAAATAGGGGGAAATAACGGCTTTGTGTCTCTGCAAACTGTGCCTCCACACGAGTTCAAGGTATCTACACTACGATTTAGTGTGACTGAGAACAAAAATTATACCCAGGTGTACAACATGAATATAAAATAAAATTGTGGGAAATTGTGTCTACATCGCAAGTAGGTGCAGATCAATTATTATTATTATTATTATTATTATTATTATTATTATTAATAATAATAATAATAATAATAATAATGTTTATTTATATAGCACCTTCATACATTAAAAATGCAGCTCAAAGTCCTTCACAATACAAAGTAAAAACAGAGAAAGAAAAGATAATGAAGAATAAAAACAAAATATAATAAACAAATAGTAATTTTATATTAATAAATACAATTAAAAATCACTGGATAAAAGTGTAAATAAAAATAAAAAAAATAAAAATGCAATTAACAAGAACATAAAAATAACAGTAAATTTCCAGTAAAAACAAAGAAAACAATAAAAAAAATAGTTAACCGCTAAATAAAGAAATAAGTTTTTAACTGTTTTTTAAAAACATTGACAGAAGGAGCCTGACGGATGTTTATTGATAATGCATTCTAATAAACATCTGTCAGGCTCCTTCTGTCCCGGTGTACAACATGAATATAAAATAAAATTGTGGGAAATTGTGTCTACATCACAAGCAGATGTCCATTTTTTCCAGTAGATTATTTTCCCTCAGAAAGAGATCAAATGTTAGATGAAGAACAGGTATCATCAAATTGTAAAATAAAAGATAAAAAAAGTGTTAAAGACAAACACAGAAAACTCCTGATAGTAACATAATTGACAACTCCCTGCCAAATTGTTTGTTACAAATCAACATTGTTCAGGCTCACTTTCTTTTGACATCTATGCTGTATTAAATCACATTAAAAAAACAGTTATCCACCTAGTTTTATTGTAATTTAAACTGTATTTATCTCTTCTTTGAGTAGTTGATATTTTATCTAGAAGAGAGGGACTTTTATGTAGACAACTTTTACTCCGAGGACGTGGAAACCCCTTTGTGGAGCAGAATGACAATAATAATTGTTATTATTTTACAGACAAATAGAAAAAAATGCTTCTTTGGGAATTTTTTTTATTTTTTTATTAATCTGCTCTTTTGCAGGCAGGCAAAGGAAGTCATGAAGATCAGATATTATTAGACATATTAGAACTCATTCAGAAATGTAGATTTTTTTTCTCACAACAGCACCCCTGCTGGAGAGGAAGAGTTTTACCTTGGTCTGCAGTAAAACCTTTTAAAGCTGGGACAACAGGGAAATACTGGAAATACACTGTAAATGATTTAACTTGTTAAACATTTGTTTACATGCTAATAATATAATATTAATACTGTACATATTAAGTTGTAGCTCCCCGTTGCTGGTGTACACTTAGAAACTGTAGCCCATCGTTTAGCCCTTGATCAGAGATTAGTGTCTGACCACAGAGCTGCTCTGGGCTGGATATTTTTGGTTGGTGGTCCACTCTTAACCTAGCAGTGACACTGACATGTTTAAAAACCCCAGAAACACCACTGAGGCTGATACACATATACATATGACTCACCACCCAAATAATATCTGGACAGCAGTGGTTCTGGGGTCAGAAATTGACCAGTGATGAATGTGATAGAGTTGGGCTGATACACAGATTGGCTTCAGTCTGTAATTGTACACCTTTGAAGTGGATTTAGATGGTAAACGGACCTCAAAGAGTGGTCAGTGAGTCGAAGTACAAGATGTTCTAATAAAGTGCACAGTGAGAGTATATTCACTGTACATTCATTTAAACACAGCTGTAATGTAATTTGTGTTTTATAGCTTCTAATTCTCCTTAGGTAGAGATGTGTATTTGAAGAAAGTCGTATTTCTTCTGCAGAGACCTTTGGATTTTTATAGGTGCTGTGGGTTTAGTAAACTTTTATTTAGTAATTATTTTATTTGCCAATCAGAAGCATGAAACCAATGTCAATGTTGTGTTTACTGGTTTCTGTCCTCCAGACCAGTCATATTAATAGGCCTTTTCTCTCACCAGTGTATACTATTCATCAGGGTTCCACACTGCTAAAGCAAAACCATCCATCCTTTATGATGATGTGTGTAAAGGCTGCATTAATTAGGGCCTCAACTGGGAACAACAGTACTGTGCAAAAGTCCTAGCCCATCTTTCATTTATTTCATTTCCAGTCAAAATGGTCATTAAGAACAATGTATTCATTTTTCAGGAGATATTTCTGAGGACACTAGATATTGTATTAGGAAGGAAGGAAAATAAGTGAAAGAAACAGGGGTTTTCAAAACTGAAGCTCAAAAAATTATTAAAACATACAGAGAAAATAGGACTCCTAACTGTCATGGAAGACCTGGTCCCACCAGAACTGCCCCATCAGATAAACAGCACTTAAAACTCTTATCTTTGAGAGAGAGGAGAAAATCAAGCTGCTTCAGATCAGAAAAAATCCACAGGTGTTTCTGTCCATCCTTCCACTGTGAGAAGACACCTCAGTGCTATGGGTCTGAAAGAATGTGTAGCTGTTAAGAAGCTGTTGGTGTTCTCAGAATAATGGACTGACCACCTCAGAGTCCAGACCTCAACATCACTGAGTGAAACCAACTTCTAAGACTGAACTTTGGAGGTGAGGAAAAATATCGCAGACTTCTTTGAAAAGCTGAAAACGAGTCTCCTGAAAAGAACTGAAGCTGTAATAAAGGCAAAGTGTGGACAAACTAAATACTAATAATTTGATATTTAGCTGTTCAGCTTTCTGGGCAACAATTCTGTTCAATATTCTTCCACTTTTTCTTGATGCTAAAAGATGAATTACATGTACTTGATGGCCATTTTGACTGTAAATTAAATAAATGGTGATGTTATTTGTACACAGTGCTGTATATTTGGTGCAGACAGAACATCATGCTATAATCCAACTGCTTGATTTCAGCATAACCAGTTAGTCTAGATACATGCACACAGTCTTTTTATATCAATAAATTCAGACACTCACAGGCTGATTATTTTTTGTGTGATTTAATTCGCAAATAATGTTTACAGGGTGTGTGAGGGGACAAGAAAAGAAAAGAAAATCAAAAACAAAACCAACAAAAAGATCTTTGGTACCTCATAACAGTGGATGGGTCCAGCATTACCGAACATTAAATGAGGGAAACCCATGAAAGCTAGCATGCTGTTACTGTGTAAAAAATGGAGTGTGGATGAACAACAGCTGTTCTGGATCCATGCTGACATCTGACTGGTAGTCAACATATGGAAGACATCATGAGGATTCAGTGGGACTGATGTTCAGGTAAATGAAGCTCTAATGTTCGTGGTGTCCAAGTATAAAATATAGAAAACGTTGCATTACCTCAAAGTAAAAATGTATCAGAAACAGAAATAACTTCACAACTGCAGTTGTCATACTCAATGACGTTACTCTGAAGCCATGATGAGATTATAATAACGTACATTCATGTTCTAACAGGTCAGACCTTTAAGAGCTAAATAAAGATCACATGAACGGCACTAGAATTGCATAGAGTTGAACATTTTAAAATCTCTTTATTGAACCTGATCACACACAGAAAACTGGACCTGGGATGCAGTTAAATATTTCTATAATGTATTTTTTAAAGTAGCTTTTAATCTGTATACAATCATGTTAGAGAGACATACTGTGTAGTAGTTACAACATAAAGTATCAAAATAATGGTCCACTATGAGGAAACGCTGGATTAAACGGAAGAGATTCGGTGGTAGTTAATGCACTACTCAGTGGCCATAACCTCATTCGACTGCACGCTTTCCTCTTGGTTTTATGGAATGATTTTGATAAGCATCTATAAAACTGGCCAAATTATTTGATGAATATAAATGGATCTATTTAATCAACTCTGTTTTAAGACTCACAAGTTAGACTGTGTTGTTTAAAATAAGCTACAAAGTCAAATGCATTGTGAAAAAGCTGTGAATATACGAGCTCTGGAATGGGCTACATAAACGTGTACAATAATATCATTCAAATTTTACCCACTGTATTTATGCGTGGATGGAAAAGTACGATTATATAATTCAACTCTGCAAACTCTGAGCTCTCATAGTTCGAGTGACTCAAATCACACTTCCTTATCTCAACATGGTGAAACTAAATGCTTTGACACGATAACGATCTTAAGAATGTGACAATAATGCAGCAGGACGATGATAATGATGGCAACCAATGCACAACAAACTGCAAATGATTCTGCTACAAATGTCAGAAAACGTTAATTGTCGGTTTCTTGCAGAAACCTCAGTGTCCTTCCACATAAAAAGTACTGAGCAGCTCTATACCACATACCACATAAGTCGTTATGGCATGGCATAAATCACACTAGTGTATCCAGGCCTTAGACTGTGTGTGGAACTGCATGGAAAAATAAATAGATAAACAAACCAATAAACAAACAAAACTATGTGAGCACTGGGAGAGATGCTAAGGACAATCGCTGGGGCGAAACGTGACAGATGTAAGAACACCCAAAATACTAAAGTACTACCTCTCTAAGAGTGCTGTTCTGTTCGTAAGAAGTAAGGCGTCGCTCTTACAGCTTAATTCTAGCCCATTTTTCAAATTTCGGCATCATTAAATGGTTAACGTAACATCACTGTCGGAACAAAATCGTAACTTTTATAACTAAACTTTCATCATTTTCCATGTAAATAGACTTTATTCTAAGTTATTTTGGAGCATTTCTATTAGTTCATTAGTCATAAAATTTTGACACAATGTAAGTGGCAGCTGCCATTTTCAAATTGTGTAAAAATACAAAAAACAACAAAAATGGAGATGGAAGGTTTCGTTCCGACAGAGATGACATGTAAACAGCCATTCAGAGCAGTTTGATGTCAATTCTGCTACTCTGGAGGAACATGCACTCAGATTGTTCAGAGTGGTGGAGACAGGAGACAGACGTATTAAGTATTTATGCCTCAAAGTGCTACCTCACAGAATATTACTATATAAAATGAAAACGAATGTGTTACTTGATGCTGAGACATCGTTTCACAATATTTGTGCAATAAGATTTTGGCATAAAACATTTTTAAAATCCTTTTATGGAGAAGAGGTAAATTTAGGGCGTTGTAACGCAAAAAGAAAACTTTAATTTTTCACATGTAGCACTATTTTACCAATAACATAACAAAAATTATGATGATGTGTAGATTGATTGACTGTTCTGGAAAGTAATGGCTAGATTTGTGTTGCAGACACTGCGACACCTGGTTCCTATCATCACCACTGTACAGAAATCTGAGTCGGCAAGTTTCATGTCAAAACACTCTGAATGACTTTGTCCACAGTCACATCCGTGACTGAATTATGCAGAAATGTAGAAAAAGCAGTTGAATTCTCAGCTCATCTGTCCATCCATCTAGATTCTTAAAGGTTTTCTGGCCAAAATATAAAGCCCCAAGGCTAACACTAAATGTGAGGAGTGGACTATAGTACTCCAAGTTAAGCAGCAGCAACGCTCCATGCTCCTTTTAGCGTGTTAGAGTGAGAGATTTTCAGACACAGGACTTTTCTGAGTAATGAAACAGAGTAACAAAGAAAGCCAAAGGAAAAATTAAAAAGTAAAAATGCAGCATAAGAGCCATCTTGAAGGCACAATCTTCCCTGACAGAATGGAAAGCCCCAAGAGGAGACCAAAAATAGGAGACAACACTGCCATAAAGGCAGAAACAGAGGACCAAGCTTAGAGAGAGTTGGTGGGCACTGGCAGAGGTGAGGGAGATCATGAGGAGCATTAAGCCCAGTGAGAACATCTCAATCCTGGCCTGAACACACCTCTCTCTGCGCCTCGGCCTCCAGCTCTGGACCACAGTGGCACGCCTGAGTGCAGGTGGTGGGCGCAGTCTCTGGTTCAGGGCTGTTCGGATGGGCGGGGCTTCCCTCTTCTGAGTCTATAGCTGGCTGCTGTGACTCGGCCTCTGTTGCTGCTCCTGAATCTAGGCCTTGCCCATCCTCTGGTTTACTTAGACCCTGAACTTTCTTACTCAGTTCATTGCGTTCAATCTGCAGAGCACGACACAGCTTCTCCAGTCTCTGCACCTTCACTTGCAAGCTCTCCAGTTCCTTATCTCGAAGTGTTTTCTGCAGAAGAAAAAAACATAATGATAGCAGCTTGAAACATTCAGAATTCGGACATTTAACAGTGACTGTGCAGACTCATTAAATAAGCTACAGAGTGAAGTAATGTGAAGTAGGGGGGAACCTGTTCAAAATAAAGCTAGGATAACAAAAATATCTGCACTTACTCACAGTCAACATGTCACAAAACAAAGCCAAAATAATAACCTTTACCTCTGTCAAAATACACTTACAGACCAAACTCAAAGAATTTTACTATGGTGAAGAAATGCAAAGGGCAATAAGGATACAACTGCAAAGCCCACAAATGACATAACTTGTCCCATCTTGATAGTATTATAAGCACTCTGTAATACTGTACAAGCACATAGTATATATTATACAGTAAGCTATAAATTCATGAGTTGGTTAAATCATTTAAATCAACACATACCTCCTCAGCCATCTCCAGCAGTGCTTTGTTACTGCTCTCCCAACGTGACCTATACATCGTCGTCTCCTTCTCCAGCTTCTTTATCTTCTTCGTCATCTGCAAGACAACACACAAAGGGTAGGACACATTTGGCTATTTCATTTTATTCTACATCAGTAAATACCAGACATAATGAACAAACCAAAAAAACAGTTGTTTCAGAATCCTGGTCCACCACCCACTGCACATCTGAAAGTGTTCTGTATGCTAATACACCAGTTCAAGTCCAATTCGACCTGATTTTACATTCAACACTGGGCTCAGGATTTTTATGTAGTAGATTAGTTTTTATGTGACGTAATAGGCCAATGGAAATGTTACACACACTCATGCGTCTTCTCTCTTTCGCTCTTTCTCTGGTATGTGTGTGGTCCATAGTCTATACAACATAGCCTACAGTCTTGTTAACTGGACAAAGAAAGCTTGCTAAAGAGGAAATGTTTAAATCACCAAATGAGGCAGGGGCATCTTCACTGTAGAACCGTTATGACCTAGTCATTGGTTCAGGTTTCAAATTTAAGAGTACTAGTTGGGCCAAGTTGGATTGTTGGTAATGTGCAGGCCTCAGAAATGGCATGCACTAGAGTATATGCCACAAGCGTATTCAGGACTGAGATTAGGGAATTGTGTTATTACAAATCAGTTTGCAGAGGAGGCTTCCCTTATCATCACAAGATAATTTTTTTTCACTCCCAATTAATTCAAGAAGAATGAAAATACCTTATCTAAATTAAGCCTTATCATAAATGCTTGGAGAATGAGTGCATGTTCCATCACTTGCCATGCATGACTTATTACCTTCTCCATCTCTTGCTTGAAGGTTGTGAATACCTCATTGCTTTTGGACAATGTGTTCTGAAACTCTTCAAACTTCTCTGTGTATAATGACAACTGAAAAGATACAAAGATCATGAAAAGTGCAGAACTTCATAAATAAACCAATAAAACATTCTTGAAAGTTTTACCATCAAATCAGCAGAAAAAAGGGCAAGAAAATACTGCTTTACACTAAGCAGTACTTCTCATCTTTCAAGGGCCATCTGCTGTGTGATAACATATGCTCACCTGTTGTTTGAGGTGAACCTCTTGCTGTTTCATAAGTTCATACATCCTCTGCGACTCTGCAGCCTCTTTCAGCAGCTGTAGAACAGGAGAGAAATAAAAAGGGATAATTAACATGATTTACAAGAGAGAGACATTTCATTCTAGTACACAGAATCACAATCCAAATTTGCATACAGACAGGCTGGTTTATTTGTATGCATATGTCTCTCTGACTGTAAACTGTGTCTGCTCTCTGTGTTTAACACGAATGTGCCAAAGCATATCTGGAAACTCACAAACTCTTTCTCCTTCTGGTGGCGGTCCTCTGAGTCCTTGAGCAGCGCCTGAGCCTGGTGGAGCTTAGCATCAACCAGCTGCTGTTGCAGATCTTTGTGCTTGAAGACCTTGTCTATGTGCTGCAGAAGTGAAGGAACATGGCTTAGCACTACACTTCAAAATGGACCATTTGGCACATTAAAGGACAGTCCCAAATCATAACATATCAAATTAAGACCATACAAAATGATCAACTGTGGCACAGGATTATGGAGATTTAACATGAACTGAACACCATGGAAATTACTATCTATAGATTGTAGATTGCTTCTGTAGTCTTTTGTACTTCAGTGACATGACATGAATGCAAAACTCCCTGAATGTGAACATTCCCCTAGCGTAATAACAAATTCATAGACAGAACTGCACACAGCAACAGACAACACGTTTTCCAAAGCACATGCTATTCAGTGAAGACTGCTGTTTATTATTGTTCCCCATTCGGTAGCCTTTTCTTCTTTTCTCCCCCATTAGTTTCTGCTGCATTTGCTTATGTTCTAATTTACCCTCATGATCCAATTAGCCTTTGTTTATGTTCCAATTAACCCTGCTCTAATCAATCTGGCCATGTCCAGCATACAGCAAATAAGGGACTCTTTGGACCTAGGCCAAAAAAAACAAAGGGAAAAAAAGCTCCTGTGCCAGCTCTGAGCTTTTTTCCTCTGAGGAAAAACCCCTTCCCTCACTTTTCCTTTCTTTAGCATACACGCACCTCCTCTCGTAGCTCATACTGCTCAATGAGCTTCTTCAGCTTCTCAGCCAGCTCCATGTTCTCCTGCCGTAAACTGGTGTTGCGCTCGTTGTGCTGCTCCATCTGTGCTTGGATTTCATTCAGCGTCACCTGAAAGTGGGAGGTGACCTCCTTTCTCTTTTCCTCTTCCTGCCGAGCCCGCTGCACCCCATCTTCCTGCCAGGGATAGAAAATTGTTATACAGTATAACATAGATTTTTAACGTAGTTTAAACTGCTGTAGTTTCTACTGCATCTACTATATTCCAAACAACAGTTTTTTTTACTGCTTCAGCAAACTTGATTCATGTGGTACAATCTCTTAAACAGATGAGGAAAAAAAACAGCAGGGAAAAAAAAAGCAGCTTGACAAAATTTATGACAAAAGGTTTGATTACAGAAATGTATTTTGTGTGCATAAGAATGTACCTTCAGGGTGCGGTTGTGTCTCTGCAGCTCACGGCACAGGCTTTCTAGCTTGCTGCGGGCCAGAATGGCCTTGCTGTGCTCGTTCCTCAGATGGTCTTTCTCTTGGATTAGCTGTGTCTGCTTCTTCTGCAGAGCCCGCATTTGCTTCTGAGTGTTGCGGTTCTCCTCAAGCTGAACAACACAACCAGATCATTTTAATACTAACAGTCAATAAGAAATACCCGTGACACATGAAAATCATATAGACAGAACATATCTGCAATCATTATGAGCTACTGCCCATTTGACAAGTAAAACAGGCTGAACCACAGGGTCTCCAACTCAGGGTCTTCAACTAACTTTGACGTCAGTTCATCAGCCTAACATTGAGAACAGAGAAATATCACGTCCTTAACATCACATCCTTCACAACGTAATGATGTTAATGTACATATTAAGGCACTTGTGTTTTGTAGCAGCAATGAATAATATACCTACATAATGGCAAATTTGACAAAAAACGTTCTGCAGTGATGCAGAGATAAAAATTCTTGGCCGAAACAAAAGTTCAGGACACACTTGACCAAAAGATGAAAGAGAGGGTTCTTTTATACATAATCTGCCTTTTTATTTAGGCTTTTAAAGCATTAATAGGCATGTAGGGAAAGAGAGCTTAGAAAACTAGTGAGGACTAACTTAATTCTAAACGGCTTGCTAAATAATATTCAAATTAAAAATAATGTTAAAAGTTGGCAAATTAAGATAATATTTCATGGTTTTCCAAAGACATCTAAAGCTGAATTCCCAAGCCCTTCCACTAAAACTACAGTAAACATCTTGTTTGTTAATATATGAAGCACATGAACATAGCTTTGGAATTCCTGCCTAGCAGTCTCAGGTTTCCCCAGCAGGGGTGCTACTAGCATGCAAGTTGCTTAAAATGTTAGTCTATCAGAGAAGAAACAGCCATTAATCTCAGCAGAGATTAACGAATGCACATGTTTACAAGAACAACTGTCAGAACAAGAGGTGAAAAAGTTTATTACCAAGAGATATTGAGAAATTATTTATGTGATTTCCTTTAATGAATATCATTATATCAAAGTTAAAGACCACACAGATGCAGTTGCAGCAGGTCGCGTTTGAGTGTTTCACTGTTTATCTGTGTCCATGCTGAGGACAAACAGCATTGTTAATATCTCTATTTCTCATTTCATTCAAATTATTAAAGTGTAAGATTTTGACACTTCACTGGAGGCTAATTTAACCTTCTGCCCTTTTTGGCAAAATTTTCTGACTTTTTTCCCCTCTTAAAGCCATTTTTAGCCAAAAATTTTCTGTAAGCGAAATTTCAATGCATTCCTACAGAATACAGATTTCAGTATTGGAATATTGGCAGTTAACCAAGGATCATTACCGGGAACATTACTGAGCCTAGGAATTTCCCTTTTACTCGTACCTAAAAATCACTATTTTAATTTTTTTACCAATGTTTTCAATTCCTGATTATCTTGAGGTTGTATAATAACTCGAGGTTGTGTGGGGAACTATAGCTGGGTTTACACTTTAACGTTTGCAAATGTTATGCACATTTCTGAAAATACGAAGTTATTACAACATGCACCTGACAAGTCTAGTGCAAGACAGAAAGAGAAGCAGACTCCCTACCTCTTTTCATGAACAGAAAAAAAACATCACATTATTCCTAAGCTTCCTTCTTACACACAAGCGAAATTGCTAAGTACAGTTTAACGAAAAATGGTTCTATATTAAAACATATGAAATGTAACAATTTGTTCACCATCATGAGAAAAAAAAATGTGTAGAAGAGAATCAGCACTGAGAGTGCTGTGTGGAGGCAAGGTGAAACTAGTGTACTTCCTACTATTGTTCTTCGCATGACTAAACTGCCTCTGAAGCTCAATACATAAACTCTGTCAGCTGAAATGGCAGCGCAGGGCCTGCCAAGAATGTGGGCTGTTAGCTGACAATGTGCCAATGCACTCGACATTACAGCTTACCTGCAGAGACAGAAAGAAAGCCCAGGTACAGCATCTATCCATGATACGGAGCTCTGCTTTTAACAGCAGGATTACTGGACAATCACCAGGGTCAATTTAAATTTCATACTCAGCATTTGCGTGCAAATTATTTATAAATAATGAGCACATGCTTCAATACATGCACGCAACTTTGAAATGCGAGTCATTTATGAAGGAAAAAAAAAATTACATTTTCAATTACTAAATTTTTCAAATACACACTAAGACCTTTTATCACTAAATTAAAAAAGGCTTTAAAAGTTCCCATGATCGTCCAACAAAAGAAAGGCTTTGTAAAGGGTTATGTAGACACACTGACGTACATAAAATGACTGCTAATTAATATTTTTTTAATTTTAATTTATTCTAAAGTTAGTGTTTTCAGAGCAAGTAAACACTTACTGCCCAGACAAACAGATATTTAAATATTAATATAATGTTAATCCCTAAATATATGTTATATCCCTAAAACATTTTCACTGTACTGTATCTGCATATGACATACTGCTTTGTTACGCCTAGAACATCATGGCGTAACTGCCATCTAAACATTTCTGGCACGAAACTTATTTCAGCGTTATAGCCATGAATTTGACACAGAAACTAGTCTCATTCATAGCTGAAGTGTTTGACTGTGAGAGATTTGAGCACTATATCAATTAATACTGAAAGTAACTTTTTTTCTAGATTAAATACTTTGAAACAAGCATTTTATGACAACAACATGACCTGTTGTCTTACCAGCTCAGCATACTTCTTGCACAGACCAGCTAGTTTTTCTTCTGGGGTGCTCAGTGTGTTCAAAGTCTGCATAAGCAGTGTTATCTCCTTGCCTAAAAAACAGAAATTAAAAGCTAATTAACGTAAAAACAACAATCTACTTCATAGAACATCCAGAAGCTTAAAGAAATTACATATACAATGGTTAAATTTAACTAAAAAAAAATCACGCAGCACTGAATTCTAGAAATACTGTGATACATGTCAGGTATTGTCAGGTATTGTGAAATGTCTTCAAATATCAAGGTGTTATAGTACTGCTGTATCATTCACACTCAGCTGCCTGTTTCTATTCTCCCAGAAAGAGCTGGCCACTCACCCAGTCCTTTAACTTTCTTTTTCTCCTGAAGCTTCTTCTGGTCCTTCTCTGCACTGCCGTTGCCGTTAAGTTTGGAATCTACTGGCTTGCCATCCTCTCGGTCAGTAAGCCCATTGACCTCTACACCATCCGGCTGACCATTAGGCACAGCTGTGTCCTCACCACCATCTTCCTGACAATATGTGCTGAGGATGTCCTCCAGCTTTCTGCTCAGCTCCTCAGCCACGTCACAGGAAGTAGGCATTGCTCCAGCCTCGGCCACTGCAGACAGCACAAGGGTAACTGAAGAGTTAACAATGTGATACTCTGCTACAGCTTAAAAAAGCTTTTTATGATACCAGACATGAGAGAACAAAAGGACACAAAAAGGAATTACTGACAGAAGCTAAACATGTGCTTTTTATATTAAAAACAAACTCTGAAGACGTAACAATACATATATTTTTGGTGTTTTCCTAAATAGGATACAAATATGGGTCCATTAGGACTTTCGATTAAGCTCAAGATTAAACTTAACTTTTAAGATTTTAAGTTATGTCAATGTCTCCATCTTTAATGGACTAGTTTGGCTCAGAAAATGCCAATTTTATTTCAGGTTCGTTAAGTAGCACGCCTTTGTGTAAAATAAGGAATTCGTAAAAATGTACAACTGAACTATAAACAATGCAACAGAGAGAGACCCTCATAAGAAACCCTCAATGTGCCTATCGCGACAGCTTTAAAACTGTTTGGAATAAACTTTTGATTTAGTTTTTCGATGCTGAACAGAAACTGTTGCACCCCTAAAACACAACCGTCTTTTCTTTCGTTTGCGTGTAGTGTAACTTTATAATGGCCAATAACAAAGTCGCAGATCTGGATGACTATCCTCAGGTTTGTCGATCACTTACAGCCTTCATCTGTTCGGGAACTGACAGTTGGGGAGCTGTCTGTCTGCATGTTCGGCTCTTTTGGACTGTCAGTTCCTTCAGGACTAACTGTGCTCCCTCCTGTGCCATCAGCGCTGGCAGGAGACCCTCCACTGTTGTCCAAAACTTGATCCTCTGTGTCCTGTCTCTTCATTACTGATCTGTGGACAAGACACTGAAGTAAATCACACGTTCACTCTCACTATAGTTTTATATCACAAAGCCAGTGCCCTCTACAAGGCTCTCAGTGTAAAAAAGGTCATATTTTATGGACAGATAAGGAATCTGACTTCACAGATAGTAACCTATCTATTTTTATGTACGTCGTTAAGGCTTTCATTACCCACAACACTGAACACAGTGAGCAATGTCGTTAGCCAGCCACTGAACTTGCTAACCTGGGTTAGCTACGGCAACTAGCTAATTAGCGTAGTGCGAGCTTCTTTAAGTCATTTCAAGCTAAAACAACGGCTAAACTTAACAAACATTTAACCGAGTCTGTTTGTCAAACGTTCGCGACCAACGTGTAACCGTCTAATACAGTTATCTAGCCGAAAAAACAGCAGAGGCGGATTTTCCAACTGACACTCAGCTAACCTAAGTTAGCTATCTCAGCTACCTCACGAAGCCGGTCGGCTTCTTATTCGGATTTTCCCGTTCCACCTTAAACGGTGCGGCAGTTGCATTCTGACCACACTCGGAATTTAACCAAATGCAGCAGCTTTTAAGGTGGAACGGGAAAATTCGAAAAGGAAGCCAAGTTCAGCTTCGTTTAGCTGGTACTGAGCTAACGTTAGTTTAACTGACGTTACTTAACAGATACATAAAAATATGACTGCAGCTTAGCTAACAACCTAAGAAATAAAACACACAATCACATCTTGAGATAATAACCTAACGTTACCCGAGAAACAAGTATATTACTCGGGCTGACCGAAGCGTCTGCTGACAAGCCAAAACTAACGTTAACTTGTGTGGCTAAAGCTCGTTAGCGCCCTGGATAAAAAACCAAAGCAAACCGCAGACCAGGCGGTAAAATCATTCAGATTTCACAGCCACATTACTCAACACCAGCAAAGTTATGATAATAAAAAGCTACCGGAGCCTCAAACAGGTCCCAGGAAAATCCTTCACTGTTGGTGGAAAAAGAAAGTATGTTTGCCAACGGACGCAGGAAGCGGCAGGAAGGAGTCAAAGCGGATTGGTGAGGAAGAAACGCAGCTTCCGACAGAACAGCCACAAAAGCCCCTGTAACCCCACACTCAACAAAGCTGAAGACCACCTCAGCACAGTCGGGCCACTAGTTGACTAAATACAATTAATTTTTAATTTATATTACAATAATGGCTTCATAATGGATGCAGAGTATGAAGGCAGGTTAATGCTATTCTTGGCATAATTCCTAAAATAAGTAGTAGTACACTGTTAATAAAATTTAAAAATTATTCGTATAAATGTTAAAAAAAGCCTTTAATACTATTTTTGTAGGCTGTCCATAAAAATGCTAATATATGCTGTTATATAAGTAAAAAAAATAAATGAATTAATTAAAGCCTAGCATACACTTTTTAAAAAGATGGTTCTTCAATGGTTCTTTAGTAAAGGCAAACTAAATATAACCATTTCATGCTCATATGATTATTTGCATGAAAAATGTTTTTTTTCAGATTTATAGAGAATGTGTTATATATGATTCTATATAGAACCTATAAAATGATCTATATAGCACCAGAAAATGTTCTATTATTACAAGCTTGACATAATAATAATAGCAGAACCCCTTTTGATGGTATATAGAACCACATACAACACATTCCCCATCAATCTGAAAAAACGGTTTTACCATGCAAAGAACCAAGCATACCAAGAATTCAAGCGTAAAATGATTCTGTATGAAGTCTTGCCCAGATAGCAGACGGTTTTGGGCCAGTTCTGGCTTTCCTGTGTGAGTGTTGATTGACTACCAGATAGATGTTAGGCATGTGGGCCAGAATAGGGCCAGATCCTGGAGCTTCATACCATTTTGCCTCGTGTCTACATTTGTGGGACAATTTTGGCATGAATATTGTGGACCAACTTCGCAGTTGGGCCAGATTAGGACCAGATTTGGGCCATATCCTATAGTTCTATTCACTTTACAGTGTGTGGGCCAGATCTGGACCAAGAACCCAGCTGTATACTAGGCCAGAACAAAGCAAGGCCCACAAGTGAGCCAGACAAATTTTGCTAACTGGGTGGTTCTAAATAGAACCACTACCTTTACTAAAGAACCCTTTAAAAGTCATCTTTTTAAGCATGTAGATAAGTCTCTGGAACTGTACTGGAGCATCGTTCTACTAAAAAATATTCCCTCAGTTGGTGTCTTCATGATGGTAAACACTGTTTAACACGTCAGTCCAAAATCTCCTGTACGCGCTCAGCTGGGTCGAGGGCCATCGCATATAATTTACATCATTTTCATTCTCATCGGTGACCTCTGGGTGGGAACAAGGTCATCCTGGAAGGGACCACCTCCATCAGCACAGAAAAGCTCTTTCATAGGATGAAGGTGATCAGTCAGAATAACTTTGTTTTGATTTGCAGTGACTTTTTCTTGTAATGGAACAAGTGGTTCCAAAACCATGCTAACAAAATGTTCCCCACAGCATTGCAGCGCCAAGAGACCCCCTTACTGTGGGGTCAGTCATTAAGGCCTGTACTGTTCTCTTGGTGTACGCTGCACATGCACTCTCCCGCTTGTGGAGAATATAGTGAAGCATGACTCATCTGACCATATCACTTTTCTCACCTCTCTGTAGAACAGCGCTGATGGTTTTTGCACCACTGAACTCTCAAATGTGCATTTGTCTTTGTAATGAGGGGTTTATTCACTACGACTCCATCATTATATCCCTCTGTAGTTGTGGACGAACCGTTTATAATGAAACTCTGACCACGTCCTGCACTGACATTCTCAGTCACCTGAGAAACAGTTGCTTTTATTTTTCTTTACATCACACTAATGCATGCAGATCAGGGTCACTGAATGTGCACAATCAATTGTAATTTTCAGCCGACATCTTTCTCATAGATCTAAAGGCAGATGTCACTTTAGTCACAGTTCCTATTAAAACATTAGCCAGTTAAGCAGTCTTAGTGACCAAAGCTCCTGCCATCTGTCATTTATATCTTTTACAGTAATTTTGATCCAAAACTGAGGTCATTTTTTTCTACATGCCACAGAGCATGGTAGGATGTTAATAACTTGATGAAGGCTTATTTATTAAGGTTTTACTTAAATCTAATACAGTCGGTGAAAAAGTTTAAACACCCCCCGTTCAAATGATGCGTTTTGCTGATTTTTCCAAGTGAAAACCAACTTAAAAATGTCAATTTTCTGCAAATTTCTGCACACAATTTATCCAGAGTTTGACATATTAAACTCCAACAGTTGGGGCTGGAGGTTAGGGATCCAGCCTTGTGACCCGAAGCTTGCTGGTTTGATCCCCTGATTCGACAGGACATGACAGAACTGCCCTTGAGCAAGGCATCTAACCCCCAACTGCTCCCCGGCCACCGTGGATAGGGCTGCCCACTGCTCCGGGCAGGTGTACTCACTGCCCCCAAGTGTGTGTGTTCACTAGTGTGCATGTATGTGGGTATTTCACTGCATAGATGGGTTAAATGGGGAGGTCTAATTCCTCTGTGTGCAAACACAGTTGGCCAATGGTTCTGAATTCAATATTGGAAAAATTAAACATAACTTATTTATAGTACACTTTTTATTTTTCCTAGTATGTTAAATTCAGCAAATAAACATTAACTGTTCTCTGTAGAGGATGTGTTGATTTATTTTCACTTAGAAAATCAACTAAACATGCCATTTGACCAGGGGTTCCCAAGCTTTTGTATATGACTATATAATATAATGTAATATAATACAATATAAGGCAATATAAGAACACAAACTGCAACAGACATTTTTGTTTATTTTTTGCATGTTATCGGCATTCTGGACAAATATTTTAAATCTCTTTAAAACATTTGTTCAGTAATGTTAATGTACATGGTTCATGTTTGTGTGACATGTTCAGTTTGTGTATCTGTTTCTAGTCACTCATTCATACCGTCGGTAAAGTCAAGTCAGTCACAGTATAAGATGGGTAATTGTTGGCAAAAGAAGGAGAAAAAAAAAACATATATATATATAAATACATTTAAAAAGAAAGAAATTACAGGACCAGGACACAATATCCACCAGGGCAAGACTAAACTGTATGTATGAAATGAAACAATTTAATAAACACATAGCATTGTAAACACAGGTGAGTTAGCGTCTTTTTTTTTCATTTAATTTCTTTTTTTTTTTTTGTTAGATTTTTTTAATGACACAGCCAAGCGTTCCGCACTGGCTTTAGATTTGGAGGAGACAAAAAGTCTCAAGATATTAATATCTACAAGATCTAGGACGGAAGACCAGAAAAGACTCAAATTCAACTGTACACGTGTGGCCTTTTTGCACTTCTTGGAAGTCATTGTTAATCAGGGACAGTGTCAGAACTATTCCTTCTGTAAATTGTGCCAATAATAAACAAGTTGCCCACACAGGTCTGCTTTAAATGTAATTTACATCGTAGATTATGAAGCCCTGATTTGCTCTCTAAAGGACGTCCTTCAGTGAGCACAACCTGAACCAAAGTTTTCTATATATCCCTGGATATGGCAGATTTAGAGAGGTGCAGATGACTGTGGTTCCTGCCTTTCTTCCCTGACGCTTTACTGCCCATTTTTTCTATTTTCAATTTGGAGAAAACAGCTTTAGAGGACCCAAAGTCTCGTAGGCTGCTGTAACTGGTTGTGCTGGAAGTAAAGACAGGAGGTCATATTTAGAACAGTCGACTGGATCTCTACACTTTGTGAAACTTCAACTGAGATTGTACAAATACAAATAAACATCAAACATGGAAAGTCCTTAAATGAAGGAAACAATACATGTAAAATTTCTCTTACGACAGCTGATTATTATTATTATTTTTTTTTGGCTCTTCTAGGCCACTATGAAAAAAAGCACATATTTTCAATAGGGAGATACAATCCAAGCAGATCGACACAAAGGGAAAAGAAATCTCAATAAAGCTTGAGTCAACAAAAATGTAAATTAGTCCAGCATAATAAATTAGCTTTACAATTAAATTTCTGATTCAATTTACCAATTTGGTGTACAAATAGCAGACCGCCACACGTCTACAGAGACTGTGCAGATAATGTAACCTCTGTGATTATTATAAGATATGAAAATAGAGCAGCAACATTTGCACAAATGCGTGCACATTCAAGTAAATAAACAAAGTCCGGAAAAAAAAGAAAAACAAAAACAAACAAACAAAAAAAACAAACAAGAAACAAATTCCACATTGATATGCATCAACCTCCAGTCTTTGTTGGTCTAATTGGCACTTTTGTGAAAAGGAGTGCATTTGAATTTTTAAATTAGTTTCTTTCTTTTGATTCGCTTATTATTACCCAACCTCAAGTGTTACAGACCAGCTTATGCTTTTTTTTTCTTCTATTTATTTTTTTTTCTTTTGGATATACACAGATAACCAGGTATAGATGGGTACAGGGAACTGCAGCATCTCTGACCTATTACTACTCCCTTTGAACGCATCTATAAACTAGTTAGCCACAGTGTTTTTAATTAATAAGTCAAAAATAAACTGCATAATTAAAGTGTATCTGTGCCCTCCAGTTTAAGCTGTTCTCAATTCTCTTTATCCAAAAACCAAGATAGTACCCACGTCTCTGGTTTGGAGCAAGCTGAATAGGGTGAGGGTGTAATACACAGAAACAGACCTTACATAGAGGACATTCTACATACAGTTGTATACAAAGGTTAGACGCTCCTGGTCAAATGACACGTTTTATTTATTTATTTTTTTTTTTTAAGTAAAAATAACACATCCTCTACACAGAGCACACTTCTGCACATTTTAATACACAATTACTGTTTATTTACTGGATTGAACATACTGGGGAGCAAAAACAACATAAAACATGGCCTGTGCCAAAGTTATGGCACATTATGTATTGTAAATTTTTCCCCCAAATAGATTAAATTCAGCAAATAACTAGAAATCGTGCACTAAATTTAGCAGAAGTTGTGTAGAGGATGTGTTTACTTATTTACATTTAGAATATCAACAAAGCATGTGATTTGACCAACTTTGTATACAGCTGTATTTTAATTCTCATATATCGTAGCTGTCGTAACCGATCCTCGTATATCCAAAATGATAACTTTCTAGGAGAGCGAAGAAAAAAAAATCCTAATGTAGTGGGATTTTACAGCAAGTAATTAGGGGCTATTTCTATTAGACTATTTGTCATGTAATTGTCACACAATGTGCAGGGCAGCTGGTGTTTTTAAAAGCTGTAATAAAGAAATGGAGCAAAATGGAGTTAGGATGTTCTGATACAACAGCGACAATATCTTTCCTTTCTAAGCCTATGATAAAGCGGTCTGTCTGTCTAAGTGACAAAAAACTGAAACACCAGAAACTCTTAGTGAACACATAAAAAAAACGTGACTCAATCTGCACAACTCTGTTAGTATTATAGGAGTGGGTCACTCCAACCGTCACCTCAGTAGCTCCGCTCCCATTAACTCTACACTGTAGCTTTTGCATCCAGAACAACTATATAGAAAATATGAGCACCCCTGGCCTTAAGCTTCTGCATGGGTGTCATAAGGACTCTACAGAAATTTGCAGAGTCTTGACTTAGACTAGGCTGATGGAGGATCAGCTCCTCTTAATCCAACACTTAAACACTATGGTCTGATTTCCTGGACATGGATTAAGCCTGGCTGTGGTTCTAAACTGCACTTTTTTGTGTAGGCTTAGGCTTAATCTGGGTCTGAGGAACCAGCTCTATGACCTTAGTCATAGCGAAACTGCAAACCGGTCTCAGTTCAGTGTAAAAGAGCAACTTTCTATAGAAAGGCTGAGAGGAATCGGTTTGAGGTGATGGCTTCACCCTAAGCTACAGTAAACAGATTACAACAGCAGAGCTGAAAAAAAAAAAGATTTACTGCCAAAGTATCAAATGTAGTGCACTTGCACCAAACTGTAAAAGGTGTTATTTAACTAAAGATCAAACATTTTTAAAGTGTTTCTTTAACTCTTTAACACGCTGTCAAACAATTTGGCAAATCTCAATTTTGCATCTATGGAATGCCATCATTTACCAGAGAAAACAAACATTGGCAAGAAAATGGAAGCAAATCTAGCAAATGTGAAAAATACTAAGTCATTGCTGTTGTAAACCTGCTCTGGTCTATGACAGCATTTTCTAGATTTGAAAAAAAAAAACTGAGATTCAGTATCAAATACTTAGATAATTCCTTTCAAAAGGCAGCTGCAATACTAATATTACCAGGTCAAATGTTTAAGCTCCAAAATCGTACTCTGACCAAATGCTCACTGTTGCTAGTACACTAGGTGTCCACAGTGCTGAGCATGCATTACACAGAAATGCGCACAAAAAATACAGATCTCAAGTTCAGCGACCAAAACATACTACAGCGCGCTTCACTGCTAACATTAGAAGCAACACAAGCTACAAAGTCATGGTGTGAACACACAGCTTCAAAGGTTCTTCAGAAGTTCTTTCCCTCACTTTCACACATCATCTGTCAGTCAGTGTCCTATTTCTCATCCATAGCTATAGGCCATACTAACCAAACAAAACCCAGCCTTCACTCATTAAAGCACCCAAGAGTCAGTGTGGTGTAGAGGTAGGAGAAAAAAAAAAAAACGCTTCCATAATAACATGAAAAATTACATAAAAAGTTGTCACAGTTTTATGTTTCCTTGATCAAGAGGTAAAGTACTTCCTGTAAAAAGAACAAGGAAATGAACAGAAACTGAACATTTCATATCTTCTCTTTAAAACACTATAGCTGTGAGCCACTCCAGCATAAAGCTTTGCCACAAATGATACCAAAGAATTTCACTGTGGGAAGAAAGAAGTTAGCCAAGAGTGGACTCCTTGCAATAAAGTGCCAATTTTTAGAGGAGAAAAAAACAAACCAAAAAAACTGCATGCTGCTTTAGACTGATACTAAAAGCAGAAGAGTGAAAAAAAAGCCAAGCAGAAATGTTCAGTCAGAAATTATGGAAGCCGTTTTCCCCTGTGTTGTGTGTTCTTATCTGTATATGACGTGTACATTGCATGCTGTCTGTATGCATGTGTGCAAGAGGTGTTGTGCAACTATATAGCATAATATTTATATATATTTCTTTGCCTATACATGTTCGTTAGGTTAGTCATGATTTAGACATGTATCCCTTGCCATACCTTTAAGATCTGTAAATTATTGCTCATGTAAGTAACTGTAAACAAAGAGTAAATAAATAAATAAAAGTTACAGGGTGCTTTTATAAACTGAATGACAACCAAAGCTGGTGAGGAAATTTTGTGAAAAGGGAAACCATTGTCCTTTTTTTCCTATTTATAGGCTATACCTGTGCAGCAAATGTCAATAGTAGCTGATTAATCAACATTACGTGATAGCAGTGGGTGGGAGCCCTCTGGTTTTGGCAAGGGATACACCAAGACAGTGGATAGAATAATAAAACCATGCAAAAGCCTAACATGCACCAACTGAGGGCTAGCCACACAAAGATCTTAACACTGTCTGCACCAGCTATTTGCACAGCAATTATTAAATCTATGTCCCAACAAAGAAAGCAAAACTCAAATTAATGAAAGCAGTCCAAACGGGTGTCTGTGCGTATCTAAAATACACAAAAATGCAACCAAGCCTCACTTGCAAAACTTGGGGCTATAGTCTAGTGAAAACCCCGTCCCTCGGTTCTGTGCTAGTCTTACATTTCGCAGCAATTAAGTCACAGCGTTTTTCAAAACTATTCATAACACCACACGCCACAAACATTAGACATCTAATTATTCTGCCTCTGTATCACCATTAGCCTGGATATAGTTATCCTACCTCATGTATTTGAACACTTTCTGATGCATTATTTCAGCACAACCATCCAGCTCTTTGAACTTCCAAACCCAAGTGTAGCATGACAAAGTAAGTTAGTACTAAAAAGAACCAAAGCATGTTCCCTACAGCCTCTGAAAAGTGTGAAATCTTTCAACGACAAACACTCTCCGATAATAGTACAAGGCCATGTCTAAGAAGCACGGCTTACACAACAACCAGTATCGTTTTGCTACTAGAATGAGCAGTGGAAGAATGCAGGTGCATCTAAATGTCTTCATTATTTGATGAAAGGTGTGTTAATGGACTGCATTGATTGTATAACTATGGTATTACACAAATGGGCAAAGAAAAAAAAAAATACCAAATTTAATCAAGCTGGGTTGGGAATGCATGCCCAGTGATTGCTATATTCAGACAAAAGAAGGAGGGGGGAAAAAAAAAAAAAAAGCATCCTTTCCAAACCAATTTGGTAATGCCATCAACTTTCGCCTGGGGGGGCGGGGGCAGTTTCTGAGCCACACTGTTTAAAGGGCAAATTAAAGACAGAATAAAATTAAATAAAGCTCCAGTTCCTGAAGTCTTCCATGTGTGACAACAGTGGTAATGTCCTTCTGCAAGAAGCACATTTTTTCCTCTATGTGTCTAAATAAATCTGCATGGGCCACAGTCAGGCTTGTCTGGCTGTGCTGTGAGCAGATCCGATACAGCCTGCAGTACAGGTACTGGGACGGGAAAGTTAGGGATGCTCTAGGGGAGACTGATGAAGTGTTGGAAGGTTGATTAGAGCTGAAAGCCCTCCATGGGGGCCTCCTGCTGAGGAAAAAGGTACTGCTGCTGGTTCTCATCCACCTGTGGCGCCAGACTGGCATCCTCCTCCTCCACACCAAAGTAGTGCTCAATGAGATCAAAGGCTTTCTGGTAGATCTCCTGATTCTCATGGCTCTGGAGAAACTCAATCTTGTCCAAGCCTAATAGGAAAAAGGGATATATCACATGTAACATAGCAATATGTCTTTTAGTATAACATTTTTGTATTTAAAGAGTTGTTATCTTTAGTGGTGGAATGTACAATATATGGCCAAAAGTATGTGGACACCCTTCCTAAATGACTGCATTCAAGTGTCAAGCCATATCAACTGCTACCAGGTGTATAATATCAACCACAAAGCTATGCAATCGGCATAGACAAACAATGGCAGTAGAATGGGACATGCTGAAGAGCTCAACTCCTTTAAATGTGGCACTGTCAAAAGATGCCACAAGTCAGTTTGTCAAAGCTGTGCCCTGCTGGATCTGCCCTGGGCAACTGTAAGTGCTATTACTGTGAAAGGGAGGTGTCAAAGAGCAACATTAGCTCAGCCACAAAACACATATTAAGGACTGTGGTTTTGGAATTAGATGTCTAATAAAGCTCTTACAGGTGTGATGGTCAGGTATAAACATGGTGTATGACTATGTAATAATAATAATAATAATAATAATAATAATAATAATAATATCAACCATAGGCCTCCTCTATGAGACTGCAGTAAGGGTTGATGCCGCTTCCGTTCTGTTTGGCCTCCTGCTCTCCAAGTCTCAGAATATTCTCCAGTCCATTCAAAGCTACCTGCACAATCTTAGAGTCCATCACTGTCAACAGGTCACACAGGGGCTTAATGCAGCCCAAATTCACCAGATACCTGCATACAGAATAAGAAAGCAAGAGTTAGAATGAGTAAGAAAGAAAATGAAAATGAGAGAACAAGCAAGGGAGTGAAAGACAGCAGAAAGATGGAATGTAATGGCTGGAACTAAATTAAAAGATAATCATTCAGCTTTCACAATGAACAAAACTCAATTAAAATGTGCCACAGGCTGTTTCCAAAAGGTACATTCTCATTTATACCACACATTTGATTACTTCTGTGTAACTACTATATAGTCTATGTGGACTGTTCCTGCTCACACCAGTCTGAATAGACAGAGTACTTTACAGGAACCTAAAGTCTGAAAAACACAAAGGCAATTGCTGTTGTTAAAGAACAGTGTTGCATTCAGATGAAGTGACCTTTGTAAATGGCTCCAAAATTCTCTGAGAAGGCTGGAGCAATCCATAATTCAATAAATAGACCCAGCCCAAGCAGGGACCAGCATGAGTAATGTTCATCTTTAACTTTAGCATCTACCCGTGCCTGACTGCACCAAACAAAAAGTCAAGAAGGCTGGTCATATGTTAGCAAGATAAATGTATGACAAACACAAGATAAAGCAAAAAATAAATAACACACACTGTGGCATTTCAACACCATTTCAAGAGTATAATTAAACCTAGACTGCTTGTACTGAGTTCTTCTAACACTGTCAATAACACCCACTAGAATCAACCAATTTGAAAGGAAGGAATACAAATCACACATGTAAATATGCACTTTTTTGATCATCATTTAGCCTCAAATTGCAGGCAATATATCAAATTAATTCTCTTTAACATGTATGCAAATAAAGCAAAGTATACATCTAATGTCACTTGCTACAGGGCCTAGTTGACAGATTCTCTGTTCAGTAGTATTGGTGGGATTTTTTGCTGACAATCACCAGAATGGAAGTGATAGAAGCCATTTGAACCAATGAAATACCACTATGCTTAACTGCAAAGTTAAAAACTCCTGTCACCAGACACCCTTGCAGGACTCATAGTGTCTGGTATCTGTGTTTTTTTGTTATTAAACTTTACACTTTTCATTGCTTTATTGATTTTCTGGTGTTGACAGATTTTTGATTTATTTATTGCTTTCTTCATTAATTTACAAATCTTTTGACCTAAATCCTGACTCACTGTGTTTTCTTTTAAGTTTCTGTGATGCATCACCAGCACAGAAATTATGAATTGGATGTTTTCACCCAACCTTACCCAACCACTCAGCAAAACAATCTAACTTTAGACTTGGGCTCACCGGATCTGTTCAGGTGTGCCTCCTGATGTTGCATTAGTAATGGCCCACGCTGCCTCTTTTCTGGTGCGGAACTCTGCTTTCTGGAGGATTTCGATCAGTACAGGGAAGATGTTTGCATCTATTACTGTCTGAGGAGAAAAAAAAAAAGAAATGAAAGAGTAAAACTAAAAAAGACATTTTTCAAAAAATATAGCTCATCACTTCTCTCTGGTCCAAAACAATAACTAAATACTTTACAGGACTGTTTTGCATGACCGTATGAGAGTATGGATGTATTAGGCCACAAAATGCACAGTTCAGTATGATACAGCGACTCGACCATTTCTGTATTCAAAACATTCAACTTCAGATCAGCAAATTCAGGCTGGTTTCTTAGCAACAAATGCACATGCACTTAAGTTGTGCTTTATTATATAACAAACTCAAATGTAGTGTGAAAAGAGGAAAACAGACAAAACTGCCAGAAAGGATGATATCTGTGCAGATGAGTGAACATCGCTTGCTCACTCATCTTGCTTATAAATAAATATAGTCAGTATTTTATAAGGAGTAGTTTTCTGAATCCATTGTTTGAGGCCTTTTGTTTAAAACGTCTTGAACAATCCAATCCAACACCATGTATGATTACACTCCTAGAGCTGAAGTGTATGAGAGTGTATCGGTGTGTACCTGTATCTGTGCTCGGTTTCCTGCTGTGATGTTGGAGATGGTCCAGCACGCCTCCTTCCTGATGGACTCCTTGGCACTGCTGAGCAGGTGCAGGAGACAGGGGAGAGCAGAGCAGTTCAGCACCACCTGCAGTGCACAAAGCAGGGCACAGAGAGACAGTGAGTGAAAAAGAGAGATGTGCACAGAGCACAGAGCCAAATGATCTAAACCAGCAATGCAAACACACATGGACACAAGCATAATAAAAAACACACAAGCACACAAACCTGTGTCTGAATGTCATCTCCAGTGACTATGTTTCCTACAGCCCTCAGTGCTGGAGAAGCCACTTTGTAATCTGAGTGCCTGCGAGAGTAGCAAAAGCAAAACCAGATCAGCTTGTGTTGAAAATCAAAACAGCATGGGAGTGAAATCAATTACAATGAGTGGAATGGGAATTTCATACAGACAAATAAAAAATAAATAAATAAATAAATAAAATAAAATAATTTCTAGATGGATTCAGCTATTGAGACTCACATGAGAAGCTCTACCAGCCTCCTGCAGACCCCCGAGTCAATCACAGCCTGGATTTTCTCATTGGGTCCATCTGAGAGGTAAGATAAGGCCCAGCATGCATCAGCCAGCAGGTCAGGATCACTGCTAAACAGCAGGCGGGACAGCACTGGCAGGCATGGAGAAACCTACAGGTGGGTAAAAGTGTGTTTCTCATAGAAAACAAACTACCATATCGTATAAACATATAAAAAGCCATTTATAGTCAAAATGGCAACTTCACAGGCGAAAGCAGAAAACATTCATTTCATTCACTGATTATAGTGGAGCTACCAGACCAAAACTGCAAAGTACCATTAAATAAAGACCACAAGTTTTCAGAACAATGCTAATAAAACCCTGCCCAAACTGTTCAAAACACAGGCACAGCTTAATGAGCTGGTGCTCTCCGCACCAAACTCACTCTGCTGCTCAGTTATTCTATCTGTCTGAGGAATGCAGGGCAGCAGGAATGCAAGCTGGCACGTGCAGGATGATAAATTCCACCCACCTCTGTCCAACACATTGTGCCCAATTAGACAAGAGAGGGGAATGCAGGACGTGGATTAAACAGTCACCCATAAACTATGGCAGGCACAGATAACTGATGGATTACTCAGGATCAACATTAGTTACACTGTACAATTCTCAGACCAGATGAAGCGTAGTTAATACCTAAGTTAAACACAAAGTTAAATATTAAGTAGGGATATTAAAAAGTTGGAATAGACAACACACAAGTAGTGCCACAAATGATGCAATCAAATACTCAAAAACTAAGTTTGTTTATCTTTTTTCAGTCATCAATTCAGATGCTGTGCAGCACTACACTGAATTTTATACTACTATACAAGCTTTCTTAGACTCCCAGCATTGCCATCTTTGGACAAAAGGGTGAAACTTTAAAAAGCTTTGCCACTTAGGAGCCTCTTTTTGAGCATCTTTTTAACTAAACATGCAACTGAATACTGTTGAAGCACTCAGGATAATCATATCATCAGAAAACCTTATTGTAACAATAATTCATCATGATAACAGTAACACTGTCATATAACTCCTAAAGCTGGGCCGACGCGACATGATTTTAACCCAATTTGTCCCTTCCAACAAATTTTCACAGTCCAAAGCAATTTTCCAGGTTGAAACAATATATGGAGCAGATGATCTGGTAGTGTGATGAGTTCATGAGTCCTATGGTGTGAGATGGTCAGTGATGTAGCTGAACGAATGATTCAGGCAACAGCCAAAGAGAGAGTAAGGAGAGAGGAAAAAAAAGGTCAAAGACAGTGGACAGAGAAGCTGCTTGTTGAGTTCACGCAAATACACCAATGACTCTCTTTACTATTTGTAAATTTAAGTAAGCTGCTGGTTTATTGTGAAATATTTCTCCAGCTCTGACTGCGATATCTGCGTTTCAATCTCATATTCAACCCCAGTTTGCATTTTCGTTATGCTGCTTGTGTCTGTATAAAAGCACAAACATGTCTGGTCCAGTTTAGCTTTGTTTGCATCATGTGATGAAGGGAGGAAGATTTTAAAAAGATTTGAAAGAGCCACAAACAGAAAAGTCAGCGTGAAGCAATTTCTTGAAGTCAACATGAATCAGAAATCTTAATGCATTTTCCTTCTATACCATCATGCATTTCTAACTGAAACATGGTATCGAGGAGGGTCTGTAAGCTAGCTGAGCATTTTCTCTTGACTGTAGGTGGGGGTGGTGAGGTTTTATTGGTTAATATCCCCCACCCACAGGTGCACAATGGCAATCAAAAATCAGAAGATATTTTAGAGGCAGGCAAAAGTCACTACACTTTGATCAATAACTACAATATTTTGTATTTTTAAATGGTTTTGTATGATGAATCATGCTTGATATGACCAAAGGCATGAATTAGCAAGATAAAAAAAAAAGGTACATTTTGATTTCAGGTTGACTTTAAAACAAGTGGGTTGAAGAGAGAAAACCATTAATAACAATAAGACATTAACAGAGACAGAAAAAAGAAAAGGAACAGAGTGAGACCTTTTCAAAATCTGGTGGTGGACTTTTGCCTCTGCATAGATTAGACAGGGCCCATACAGCGTTCCTGGTCATCGTAAGACGAGCTGATTTCGTCAGCAGCCTAAAAGGGGATTTCATAAAAACATGTACAAAAATGTATAAACCATCATTAGGCAAGAATGAAAAATGAAAATACTCTGAATCGGCCAGCACAGCCTTCAACTAAGAGAAATTGGATAATCAAACAGGCTCAGTAAAGCACTCACATTAATAGTGGTGGAAGGATATTGCAGTTCAGAACGAAGTCCCTGCATACAGCACTGTCTCCTGCAATGTTGCCTAGAGCCCAGACAGCCTGCAAGAGAGACATTGATTTAGGGTTGAAAAGTGATGGAATTGGTGATTAAAAAGTTATGGATTCAGCTATTCAATGAAAATTGGGACAGCCGTCTGCAAGACTTTGATTGAAAATACAAGCAGAAGTTTGCAAGGGCCGGAAGCACCATAAACTCAAACTGTCTCATCATCCTCAAAACAAAACTGACCTCCCTGCAGGAATAGAAAGAACCTCACCTAAACAAACCAAATGCAATTTCCATTCAGAAACAGCTCTGTAAGCTTTGCATTTTATTCATGAAGATTTTACTCAAAGGCAGCGGTTTTAGGACTGTTTCTTGTGGTTAGTTTCTAGGTTTTCAAACTGCATCAGCTGTTCATAATTTTAATCATGCATAACTTGCCATCTTGCTCAGTTTAAGGCCTTTTAAACAATGTTTACTATGACTGGCTAATTCCTTCCAAATAAATACTGAGAAAGACTATTGGGTTTCACCTTGCATGTTCCAGATTTGTATGGACTCTACAGAGTAATATAGAAACAACGAGTAGTGAGATTACTTTTCTGTAGGAAATAATCAGTAACCCCATTACATTTTGGGAAAGTAATCTAGGGTTGGGTTAACCGTTACAAAAACTGCACAGCTAATATGCACTCCATTTTGATATGGATAGAAGAATTTATTTTGCAGTTTGACAGAGGCACACCTAATTGATTCCTGTGCACATACTTGAAATGCAGGTCAGCTAACATTGCTTCTGTAAAACCTGTGAGTACCTGTTCCTGGACGTCTTCAAATTCAGAGTTGAGGAGCTGGATGAACACAGGCACGGCACCTGCCTCGATCACGTATTTCGTCTGCTGAGATGTTCCAGAGGCGATGTTGGTCAGAGCCCATGCAGCCTCAAACTGGGAAGAGTTAACACAGAGGTACATTTAGGAATTTTGGTTCAAAGCAATCAGTTAAAAAATATAAACTAAAAGTGATTACTGATGGGTAAACATTATACCTGTAATGTGCAATCAGTGCTTTTTTCAAGGAACTCTACAAATCTGTTCACGACTCCTGGTGTGCTGATGACCTCATCAATGGGTGGGTTTGGTTCTGAGTAACAAACAGAGTCAAAAGAATTTGATCTGACTTATCAAAATCCATATGTTAAAGCTTTACTAAGCTATGCCTGGTTATGGCTGACAATGTTTACTAAAAGTTACTTTTATTGTATAGGATACCTTTGGACAGTAGTTTTCTGAATTTCTGCGTTGTGGCCAGCTGCAATTCAGGGTCATCTGAAAAGAGCATTTCCACCATGTCTCTCGTGATAACTCCTTCCTGAAAGGACAAAAGAACACAACCTTACAACTCCCATCAGACTGTTTTACTACTCTCTGAATGTGGTGGGGATTCATTTAGATTATAGGTGTGGGCAACAAGGCATACATATAACATCACAAAACTTTAAGACATTTTCATGATACATAATATAGTTTTTCTGAGGTTTGATAAGTTGGTCCAGACAGAAAAAGAACCAGCAGTGTAACATTTAAAAAACTACAAAACTATGAACACTTTTTTTTTATTTTACATAAACAGGACTAATTATGGTCTCTTTATAATGAAATATGCCACTGGCGATCTTGAAGTACTGAATCTCCAAAATATCAAATTAAGAATCAATATTGTCCTACTTTCCACCACTATAATATACATCATGATGTTCCATTCTACATGGGCATACATTCACTGCTCCAAACGTGCTTGAAATAAAATCTATTCACATTAACTTATATTACAAGTTTCTCCGTTTTGGAGATCTTTTTTGTTGTTGGTTGAGCAATGATATGACCTTCAGCTCTGTTACCTCTATGGTAGAAGAATGTTGTTTATATGGAATAAGTTCATAAAACACAAAATAACCCCAAGAAAATTACATTTTCAAACATTTGAGCTGTTTTCTCTTTTGCAGCTGTACAAGACCATTTTAAATCCAAAATCTGATGCAATTCTAAGTCTGGTTGAAGCCAATGAGAGGTAGATTTTGTGCATATTTTAGAACTACACATTCTAGAATAATATATATACACAAAACAAAGCATGATTTTAAAACAATGAAAACTGGGGGGAGTATTTTCAGAGAAAAACACTGGATTTTTTAACTGAAGTTAGAGTGTCAGTTGGCCAACTTTGTGAATCGTGGAGGTGTGACTTATTAGCACTGATGACTCACCTGCATTGTGGTAGAGCTGACATAGGAGTCCATGAGAGGGCTGTCAAACATGCCCCCCTCCTCATTCAACAACTCCACATTTCTCCTTTTAAACAGCTGCCAAGCAGAGAGGAGAGCAATACCCATTACAGTACTCCAGGGTAGCCAAAGATGTTAAGAATACAGAGCGAGAGAGAAAAAAAAAAATACTTACTTGCTGTTCTCTTTTCTGTTTCCTCAACTGAATACCCTCCTCTTCTCGTCTTCGGCGCATCTCCTCAAGATTAAGTGCTTTGTTCTTATAGCGGTTCATTCTGTAGTTATCCTTCGCTGGACTCGCTGACGGCTCTGCAGTAGAAAAGGGATCAAAACGTAAAAACTGCAACTCAATCAGCTTCCTACAACAATGATTCCCACCAATTCAGACAACTGTGGATATTAGAAAAAACCTGAACTGTAACTCAAGTCAAGTCAAAGTTTATTTATATAGTGCTTTTTACAACAGATGTTGTCACAAAGCAGCTTTACAGAAAAAATCCGGGTCTAAGGCCCCATGAGCGTCGCCAATGGTGACAGTGGCAAGGAAAAACTCCCTAAGAGCAAGAGGAAGAAACCTTGAGAAGAACCAAGACTCAAAAGGGGAACCCATCCTCCTCTGGTTGACACCGGATAGCAAACAGCATTAGTATAAAATATTAGAATACAAAATGGGGAAAAACAGGTGGAGCAATGGTTAAACTCTTGTTACGCTTGGGTTAGTGCTAAGAGATGGAGTCTGGGGAGAAAGTGAATAACCCTTTATACACTGAACTAGATGAGTCAGGATTCAGGAAGAACATGAACTTCATGAAGTTCACCTTATGGACAAAGAACATATTCACGCAGACAGACCAGGAACAAGGGTGTATGTATATTTGTTGCGAGGCATTTCCATATTTTAAAGCGACACAGTCAGTCAATGTTGAAAAATACTCCTTTCACTCCATTAACATGAAAATAAATAAATAAAAATAAGAAGCACATTGATAAAAGTGCAAAGTAATGTCCTTCCAGCTTCCAGCCACAGCTCTTCACATTCATTACACATTTCAGTCTATCCTCTGACTGCTGAGCACTACACACTCATGCAGAACCATTCAGGCTCACTCAGTAGAACCACACTGCAGAGCAGAGCTAATCGCTGTTTGCATGAGCAAGCATCTAAAGTTCCCACTCTCAGCATTTGTGCACCATTGCATGGTCACTAAATATAAGCCAAAAGAGACTGAATAGCTTGTGGGCTGTAGGTGAAAACGGTACACAGATTCACTGAGCTTTTGGTTTGCATAGTCAGTACAGTATTTATATTATTTAACACTAGATTATTCATTGAGTTTCTGTTGTTTATTTGCATGGAAAGTGGAATTCCACAGACTGCAGATGTGTAAAGAGATTAATGATACATCACAGAAAGATGTTAAACGAAAGGCTTACAGATATGTTGCCTGATGTTTGAGTTGGTTTTAAGATGGTATTGATGGTAAGATTTTAGCTCAAAAACAAGCAGGATGGAAAGGTTCATGCAGGGCATTGTAAGGAAAAATAGCACCCAAAGAAAACTTTTTTCCCCCAATCTCAATGTTTTTTTTTTACATATTTGTGATTGAATTATGCAGAAATTTGGAAAAAAATTGAATTCTTCTTTAAAAAGTGTGACAATTTTATCAGTCACCATCAATTATACTATGAATTATATCAAACACTGTTGAACTAAAATTATCGGAGTATATAATTCAAATTTAATAATAATCAAGTATAAATGTAAAAATATATATGCCAATATTATCAGTTTTCAGATTTATTTTGCCTTCTAAATTCAGTATTGTAGATGACATACATAAATAAGACCACAAAGCAACTGAGACAAACTTGGTGAGTGATGAGTAAGCCATAATAAGCTAATCTAGTTACTATCATTCGCTAAATTACTCATTGTACGTATACAGAAATAAGTCATGTGAGTAACGCAGTCAAGCTAAAGGGCATTATCACGTTAAGGCTTTTGCCAATTATTCGCCTACAACTACATATTCAGAGCTTTTGTGTCCTACTGAATGAGCAAATAAACTCAAACTGTTCAAAATTTGTTTCCTAGATTTAAGACAATTATCTAGCTAAACAAGTATCAGATGAACTGTCAGTTTAAGATAAACCTGGACACCGAGCCACCCTTAGAGTACGACTTTACACATCTCAACATCTTAGTCATGCTTCAAAGGCAGAGCCGAGCCAAACTATTTACCATATGTTACACATTTAGTTTGCCAGGAAAATAAGCTGTGGTACTTCACTTGGTGAGTGCACCATTACAACATTACAGTTATAGTTGTCCATCACATGGGACTCCAAAATAGCAGTGTGGCTTAGGCCCCAGTCACAGGAGCTATTTCAACTGACCACGCGCATGTCCAACTCGCTCTAAACAAAAACTCAAGGCAGCGGAGGAAAAGCAGAACACGCCCTTTGCACATATGTTCATAGATATTTAACTAATCAACTAACATTTAGAGGTCAGTAGAGGTCAACCAACGTTTAAAACTGACAATCAAGTACAGAGAAAGTGATTTAAAATGACAAACCTGTTTGGAGACTTTTAACCTACTGGCCTGCGGTCAAAGTGATTAAAGATAACACGACTATGAAGTCTTCATCACTCAGTGGCTTTTAGGAGCTACTAATATGGACATTCTCTATAGCTGAACACAGACAAGGATCAGTCAGTAAAGCACTGTTAAGCTAAAACTATTGAAGTACAAAGTTAAAGTCTAAAATATAAATACAAAATTATATCCATTGATATTATCAGTCATCAGAATTCTTGTTCTCTAAAACTGGTACTGGGGGTTTTTTGGCAGATGACAGATGCAAATGAGACTATAAGACAACTGAAACAAACTTGCTGAGTAATGAGCAGGCCACAATGTGCTACTCTACTTACTGTGATATGTTAAATTACTCACCATAAGAACACCTCACTTTTTACTGAGACATAGGAAGGACAGACAGACCACTTTCAGTAATGGCTTAATGAAGCCTAATAACGAGGCCTAAGAATTGCAAACTCAGTTTTAAACCTTGAATCTCCCTCTTTAAGCTCTAGTCCAAGGCTGAATTTGAATCTGGTGAGAGGATAAAACTGAGAGAGAAGAAGAAAAACATGTTCAAACAGTTACTGACAACTTCCTTTTTGGAAACCTTCAGTAAGTAGGCAGCTTGAGGGTCCAATATGACTCGTCATCCAGTCTATCTTTAACACAGTGTAAACATTTGCCCACTGACAAACACAGACATGCTAATCTAAGCAAAAGTAGTCTTTAAATGTGCTATAATGGGCAAAAATAGTCACTACAGCTGTAGTTATGCGGTCCCTGGTCAAGTGATTTTACACTAGTGAATAAATGCTTCCTGTCTGGTCTGGGTTGGTGACAGTTACTCATTTAGTCAGACGTACATTTTGTCCTTTTTTTTTACCTCAAGAAATCAGTTAATGTTAGACATTATGAGCATTAGTGCTGGGTCACATCTTCCTAGTAGTGCTAAAGGCTAAAATTTGTGACTTGACAGTTTATACGAAGCTAAAGTCAGCTACTTGCCCGAATTTTTCCGTTCCACCTTAAATGGTGCAGCAGTTACATGGTAGCGCCTGAGACGCCAGACTGTAACCGCCGCACCATTTAAGGTGGAACGGGAAAATTCGAAGAAGCTGGCGAATAGCAAGCCAACTTCAGCCTTCAGCTCAGAGACGTTATCTGCTGAACAAGCAACTTCTCTTTTACCATCTGAAGTGTAAGTTACACCTTACGGCACCACCGTTACTAAAACATTTCTACCAATAACGCTGAATAATGTCGCTCCACTCTGCTGCCCCATAACGTCTAACTGACTGCAGCAAACAGCCATGGTGGCTAAAGGGAGTTAGCGGCGAGGTGCGTGTTCGCCTTCACTCCTTCACCGCGAACGACACATTCAGCCAACTAACCTGAAGAGACGTAAATTCAGACCATACAGACACTCACCCATCTCGCTGTCTTTATAGAAAAGTTGCTTTTGACGGCCTGTAAGGACCAAAAAGGGCAGAAGCTTCGCTCCTTCAGCAAATTGCTCCTCACAAACAATATGTCGGAGATCTACGGAGGCCCTAAGAAGACAAACGTTGTGAAATCGGTGCCGACCGGGAAACGCCAACGAAGCATTTTAAAGCGAAGCTGCGTTTGACAGATCTCTCTCTAAGACATGCAACCTTAAGGAGCGCTTATATTAGCCTCTTATTCGCCAGGGTAGATTCTGGTTTTTCCATCTGAATCAACATGAGCAAACCGTAAGGCAAATTATTCAGTAACTGCATGAAATAAATGTACATTTTTATTTTATTTTATTTTATTTATTTTTGTAAAAGTTCCCCTCAAATTAACAGAACATGTGTTTTATGATCACACATATTGCTATATGCTTACAATTTACTGCTGAAAGCCAAAAATCTTAAACGCTCTTTTTTATAAAAATAATTTTTACAGAGCAGATCACTGAAGATGATCAGTGTTTATAGTTTATAGCCCAGATTTGTGGAAAAATGGGTTGACTTTCAGTAGACAATAAATAAATAAATAAATAAATAAATAAGTAAATAAATAAATACTGAGTTCAGCTTCTTTTATTATAAGGGTTTAAAATTGCATCACCCGTCTATTTGACTGGAAAGAAGACAGTTACAGCTCTCATATGACCCCCACCTTTTGAATGTAGCTTATGAAATATGAAAGTTATGAAGAATATGACGAAGTGCGTTTTGGAACCACCCGTGGTCTCGAGGAGTTGAAAGGTAAGTTCCTTAAGCTTAAGAGCTTCCAAAACTATTTTCTTAAACTCGTCACACTGAAATGTGATTTATTTTTTGCCTGCCTTAGTAGTTTAATCCTTAACATCTGCTAAAATAGCTCTATTTTGATCTTTCAGTTGACGAAAGACAGGACTACGAGTTTTTAGAGTGAGAAAATAAACAAAACAAAAATCTAGCAACAAACAGGCGTTTCTCTAGTTTTATTTAAATAACGTAACGTTTCTTAAAATCTGTTTTACTTGTTTTCTTGGTTGATTTTTTTATTTTTATTGCCATTTATTTTAAATATTTTTATATATTTCTTTTCAATTTATCATTACTACCATTGTTTTATTGTTTTTTTTTATCATTTTGTCCTTTTTAGTTCTGTTTACTTACTTTTATTACTATTTTTAATTTATTTTTTATTACTAATCTGCTTAATAGTTTTAATTGGTTGTCCTGGTTGTCTTCACATTTCCTAATTTTTATTTTTATATACTGTTTTAATAATAATTTCTTAGTCATATTTTATTTTATCTGCTATACTTTTACCATCACAAATGTTTATTTACTCTTTTCAATCCCCTTTTTTTTGCACAATGCTCAGCTACATTGTAAATGAGGTCGATTGGTTATATAACAGTTGATTGATTTTGGTTGGGAACAACCTGTGAAGTGAAATACCTGAAAGTTTCTTTATGAAATGCTTTATATAACAGGGCTGTTTAATTTCCCATAAGAACAAAAATCTAACCTTGCATTAAATATTGATCTAAAGTGTATTTTCTATGACTGAACAGCGCTTTGCAGTGAGAAACACCATGCATCAGTATGACAGCATTTAGAAACTAATATAGGCCTGTAGTCCAGAACCCTAGTGGTGGGAAAATATACAATATTTATCATTATTGTCTTATATGATGCCACATGATATCACGATATGCTTTTATGAACATATTATAGATATTGTTAGCACTTAAATAACACTGACCAACAGCATATTTAATTACAAAGAGAGCAGAAAAAACAGCACCAGATGCCAAACCAGGACCAGACCAGCATAAACCAGCTTAGACCAGTATGGAATTCATTGCTTTTTTTCCAAGCAGGGAAGTAGACCTGTTTAATTTGATTCAGTGCTGTGCAGTATGTTAGAAATAAAGGTTCTGTGCAGGTACATTTTTCTTTCATCAAGGTACAAACAATGTAAATGTTCCCTCAAAGGTACAACAGTGGTTTTAAGGTCCGATTGTGAACCTTAAATAAGTTTTCCCATGTGAAAAGTACATATTGTACCTTTTCATAATCTAATGTTTTAAAACACAACAATAAAATAAAAAGCCTGGAGATGAGATGGGGAGTGTGAAATCAACACAACTTAGAAAATATAATTTCAATGGATTATGGTACAATTATGTTCCCTGACTAAAGGTACTGAGATGTACTCTTGAGGGTATCACCCCAGTGACAAGAGGGGTGCTGCCCCAGTGACAGTTTCATACCTTTATTTTTCGGAGAGTGTGTAAAAATAATTATATTAATGGTTTTTGATTATTATTTAGTTTTAGTATTTTTCAATATGACATGACAGGTTCTTCTGTGTCTTATTAAACCATAGAGAAATTAAATATAATGATGCATGAAAATATCTTGAAGCATTGTGGTGTTATATTTTGCCATATTTCCCACCCGCTGCTGTATATCTTCAGTTTACTTGTAAGCTACTTCTACTAGTTCTCAGTACTTTAGTACTTGCCATGCATGTTTTATTATTTTCATCCTCCAATAAACTTGATTCAACTCCTTTAGCTCATAAATGCCCTTCATGACCTGAACTGATAGGACAAGAAAACACTAAATTGTGCACAGTGGGGAGCAAGACTGAGCAACACTCACTTATATGATTTTGAATCTTAGCCCATAAGACCATTGAACATATATTACTATGTGTAGGGTTCTGTGTTGCCCCTCTCCATAAGACATATAAGATACGCATATTTGTTTGGAAAAACGTTTGCTCAGTTTTATTTTATTCACATTTAGTCCCTAATTCCTTTCTTGAATTTTAAATGTTGAATTTTATTGTCTTACACTGCTCACTTTTGACTTTAGTATTTGATGTTAGACCAAAAGTATCCATGTATTCAGCTCCTATGCTGAAAAATGTTGGATATAGGGCCATTCCGCTGCAGTTTCATAGGGAACTTGGAATTTTCTTGCCCTGATGTTGCAGGCCTTTAACATGTATTGCCTTAAGACATTCACTTGGGGGCACTGTTGCATAAGCTCAGCCTAATGCATTGACTGCTCAGACTACAGGATTTCACCTGCCTACCCAACTGGGGTCACTGGGTACTTATGCTTTTTCACTGTTACCACCAGCAACAAAAGCTTTTCCTAAAGAAGTGTCTTGTATTTTAGGGAAAAGTGTTTATGTGATGGAACAGAAGTAGAGTCCAGCCTATTGTAAGGCATTTAGGTCTGAAAGCAATGACCAGTACTACAGGTAAACGCTTTCCTGCAGTAGTGGACAGTTTTCATGCGATTGTTAATTTAGAGGACCATCAGCCCTGATCTTGTATAGCTCTGCAGTTTGAAATAATGGGAGATCCACCCAGAGCTATTTGTCATTGCCAGACTTCGAGGCACGAGTCTTGAACCCGAACAGAGCTGCAGTGTTATCATGTGTAATACAGGTAGCTGGGAAGCTCTGTGTTGTGACACAAAATGTGATTTTTTTTTGTGCGATTAAAGCTTTGAGTTCTGTATGAAGCCTAGCAAAGGACATCAGCTACAAGCTATTTACATATAATTGGATTTGGCTTATCTTCTGTGCTTTAACATTATTCATTTCCTCTCTAATGCAAAGCTTTCAGATCTTATTATGAAGTCTAAAGAAATCTAACCTGGGTTACGCTGAGGACTGAACTACAAAACTTTTGAATATAACAGATCATGTAGCTAATGGGGTTCTTTTTGCCATCCATATCACTGGCTAATGCAGGCCTGCTATATCAATAGGCATTGGGTGGCTAATGTTGTGGAACAATCTTGTGGAATATCTCGTCCAAGAATTGAAAGGCTCATGGATTAGAATTGTTTGCATTGTTATGTGCTTCATATACTTTTGACCTCACATTGTGATTGGCTGAGAGGAATTCTATGGGTGCCAATTAGGGATGCACAGTGACGTTGGAATCACATCGGTATCAGCATATTATTGCTTTACGACACTACCAACATCAAACAGATGATTGATTTGACCCATACTTCAAGTATTCGATGCATTTATTATAAGATCCGAACATGTAGGTGTCTGCACTTTATTTATTTTGCTACATTTCTAACCCTAAAGAAAATGTTACATTTCTCTGTAATGCTAATCCAGATAGATTCATTTCTACACAATTACAGTTTCTACATATAGTATATTATACTATACTATATAGATGTATAAGCACTGGTAAGAGATTAAAATCTCTTTCAATGTCACTGCATCAAAGTCCTCTGTAACTTGGCAACAACCAACAGTCTATAAGATCAGGTAGTTTCAGGTTAATGGAACTACATTTTCTCATATAAAGTAAATAAATGTTCCTGTTAGTCAATTTTGTGTCATCTTAAAAGTTAATAATGAAGGTCAATGATGAATCTTTGGTATATAACACACTCAAGGTCATGCTATCCTATGAAATAATGGCACTGCTGACCTTTGATAGAAGATATTTAGATAAAAATGTGAGGCAGGAAAAATATTGATGGTGTTGGTGAAGACTACCTTGGATAGCAAAACTGAACAAGTCAATAAAGGGGCATTTCTGCTTATTCTAAAATTGTATTATATATAGTATTATATAGTGCAGCATTGTATCTCTTAGCCTGATATTTCGGATAGAATTCAAGATTGCTTATTCTTTTTGTGTTTTAAGCCACCAGTGGTCTCTCATTAAAATAACCAGCATGCATTGAGCAAAATGTGTACATCTATTGAAACAAAGAATAAAGAATGAAGACATAAACTGATGTAGAGATTAATAAATACAGATGTGATGTTCAGATTTCTAGCAGTAATGTTAGCTGTCTGGCTTCCTTTTGCATTAGCCAGCTAACAGAAAAAACCCATTTCAAACAGTCTGCACCATATATCTGCCCCAAAGCACACATAGTTTCACAAAAGTTCATCTGAAGTGAGGTTTCCTCATCTTTAAATAAAAAAAAAAATCAATCTGGGGACCACTGTGACAGGGTGTTCTGGAAAAACAGGATTATGGTTATCAAGATTCAGAACTGACTTGACAGAAATTAATAATAGTAATACAGTGTGAAACCATCTGGGACTTTAGAAAAGACCTTATTATT